ACTATATATTTTATTTTATTATTTTGAACTTAATTTTGAAATATACTTACAAGTTAAGCTAGGTTGAGCTCAAACTTGTGGCTTGATAAGTCACCTTGTAAGCTCGTTAACGAATCAAGTTTGAATAGTTTCACCACCCGACTTGGCTCACTTATATCCCTAAATTAGTGGCATAACCTAGCAATTTTTATATTATATAAATATATATAATATATGTATATTAATAAGCCCTATATTTAATATTTTACTATTAAATATTCAATTTAACTAATACCCCTCACGATGCTTCTCCCTCTCCGCTACGGCTTTGCCCTGCTGCCCTTTTGGCACGGTTTAGGGTTTCTCCGCCTCTGAATCTTGTGTCGTTTCTTGCTAGAGGCTCCAGGGATGTTCCCTTCCCTTCTCCTTTTGTTGGTTTGTTTTCTTTTCTGTTTGTTCTGGTTTGATTGCCTCGTTTTTTCCACCTCCAGTTGTTCGTGTGTGTGTATATATATATATTCAATTTAAATAATACAAATTAATTTCTGTAGCCCAATAAAAAAATTTTTGGCTGCTCCACTTGTTAGAAGTTGCATGCATTATGTGTGTTTGTTATTATTGATACATCATCCAGAAGTATCTTGATTAGGCACGAATCTTGAGGCATAATCAAGTTGGAAAATTTCAAAATCAAAATTGGGACCATCCAAATTCTGATTTTAGCAAACTTACAGTCGAACTGAACGTCTCAAAAATACAAACCCAAAGACACCAAATTCGACTCAATTCGAGGCCAAATGGGCCTATATCAAGGACCTGAAGCGTTGTTGGAAGGTCCAAACCACAATTTAGACTATCAAACATGACATGTTATAGTCGATTCGAGAGTCTCGACGAAACAAATCCAACAAGCTTAAGATCACTGAATTCTGATATCATTAAGATATTCAAATGCCCAATAAACGGTCCACGATCAAGGGATTCAATTTCGGACGTCTATCCAAACCACTCCCAATTTACCCTTAATCCTCCTCCTGTTTAGGGGCCATACCACTCTTAGAAATCTATAAATAGACCCCTCCATTCTCATGAAAGGGGGATCTCAAGCAAGGAATTAAGAGAGAAATCGGAGATCGCTCTTGCCTCCTTGCTCCTCCTCGACCACTATCTTGAGTTCTTCCAGACCACTTTCTGACGTCGGAGTTCTGCCAAACCACTGTCGGACCACTAACTGAGGCCCGAACTTTTGTCGAATCACCAACATAAATCGGAGTTCTGCCAGACTACCAAATAACGCTCATACTTCCCCTAGACCACCGCCTTACAACAATGATCTTTCGGACCCCTATCGTTTGTCGACTACAGTCCTTCCGACTTCTGTCGCCTACTATGATCCTACCTTTCTCCAATTCCAAAGAACGATCTTTCTGACCCCTATATCACGTCGATTACGGTCCTTCCAACCTCCCTCGCTAGATAACGATCTTTCTGACCCCTGTATCCCGCCTACAACGGTTCTTCCGGCCTCCCTCGCCAGACATCGGTCCTTCCGACCACCAACATCAATCTACGATCCTTCCGACCTCCTTCACCTGCCGACTATGGTTATGCTGACTGAACTAACATTTCAACACGAATTCTTCTGATTCCCACCATATAATATAATGTACATTTGCTACATCAACCCAAGGACTTCCCTCCAAGGAAATGTCTCATTTGTAATCGACTACAAATAATAGGGGATTCATTCAAACTGGGCTAGGCCCTGTAGTTTTCCTCTTTTTTAGGAGTTTCCATGTAAAAACTATGATGTGTGTCTTATGAACTCTACACCATTCTCTTTTATATGTATGCATGTGGAATCTTCATACATAGCTAAGACGTTAAACTTTATATTTCCTTAATGCTGTGAATATTCTTGGACGCAACAATTATTATTATTATATTCCACAAATTAGAGGTGATGGAGTTCTATTATTTGAGTGTGTCAGCTTTCGTTCTAAATAAGAAATTTTGATTTAAGTTGAATCAGGTTCAAAATGATTGATTTTTCGTTGACTTTTTAGACAAAATGATCTATTAATTTTGTTATTATTTTAGTTGCTAATAGTTATTATCTATAGAACTGCAGGATAGATCCACTATAAGCTCGGAATCCATCCCCTCCCCCAAATAGGGAAAAAAAAATGTTACATGATTCTTTAGATAATGTGTCCCTCTTTATTTATTTTTTAGTATTTAAACAAGGGTTTTTCGGCAATTGTTCCCCTAAAAATTTTTAAATATAAGTTCTTTAGGCATTTTCCCCAACATAATTAAACGCATTATGTAGAGATGTTACTGTTAGAGAACGATGAATCAAATACAAAGAGAAATAGTAAAGAAATTTCAAAAATATCCTACAACCAAAATTTGTTCGGGGTGCGCTGCCTCCTTGGAGCCTTGACAAATCTGCGTAGCGTACAACAATGAACAAATAGGGATGAAGAGATAGTGCTCTCAGAACAAATTTTGATTGTAAGGATATTTTTGAAATAAAAAACTCTATATATTTACTTATAAATTTGCCCCTCCTGAGAATTAAGCTACTTACGCCCCTATATAGAAGAGTACATTTATAATATTTATTTATAAAATTAGCATACTATGGCTGCATAAATATGTTTATATAAATATATTTATATATTATGTAATTACAGAAGTGTACAAATATTACATATATATCATATATTAAGTCAATTTTGAAATTTATCATAGTTTGAGCAAAGTAATTTCAATTACAAGTTCACTAAAATTTAATTAGCCAAGTCAGTTTCACATCTCAAAAATTACTATTAGCCACCTATTTTTATTTCTATTTCAAATTTTATTATGTCTAATATGTGTTCTAAGGTGTTTAATTTTCAGTCTAGCTTCTATCATCAATTCTTTTTTTTTTTATCTATTTTCTAACAACCCCCTCAATTTTCTTAAATATTAGAGATTTCTACTCTTTTTATAAACTTACAAAAATTAGCAAAATTAGCAATTATATGGGCATATGATGCCTATGCCAATTTGAAAATGCATGTTTTTTTTTGTGATTTTCTTTTGAGTGTTGCAAGTTACAACCAATCAATTTCATTTCATTAATGTAAATATTACAAAAACTGCATGCAATAAAACAAAAAAATAGAAGAAAGGATTGAAAAGAAACGACTTTCAAAAACTCAAAAGAGGGCTCATAAAGTAGAACATAATGTATCATTGCTTCCATCCAGCAGCAGAAGCAAAACAAATATGCACACCATGCATCATTCTGGGTGTTCAAATGTAGCATGCAAGGAGCTTGGTGTATATATCTAGTTCTGATTGGTATAAAAAACTGCTAGGTTGATATGTCACATCATTAAAACCAAGTTAAAATCAAGAAAAAAATTTAGGTTGATCAGTCTGGTTCCCTAAGTAGGGCTGTCAATATTTGACAAAACCCAAAAATTTGACCTGAACCCGACCCAAAATTTTCGGGTTAGGAACAACCCGTTTGGCAAGCGGGTCGGATTCGGATTCCAAATTTCAACCCTTTTTAAAAATTGGGTCTATTTTGAGTCAACCTGCTAACCCGAAGTTGACCCGGACCTAACTAGAAACCCCCACCTCAACCATTCCGTCGTCCGCGTAAGGTAAAGTTTTGAACGAGTCAATAAAAGACTTCTTTGTCTCCTTCAATGACGTACCTTCCTGTTCGTTAGGACTTCTGTGAGAGCTCGCTTGTTGCAAAGGTAATCATCTTCGGAGGGACATGTCGGTCGGAAGACTTCTTTGCCTCCTTCGATGACGTTCCTTCATATCGGGTCGGAAGTCACGAGACTCACGACAGCTCACAATTGGATCGGAAGCAGAAGTAATGACGACGACGGAAAGGTCCTAACTTCGGAGGGAGATCGCTTGTTGTGAAGGTAACCATCTTCGGAGGGAGCTGTCGGGTTGGAAGACTAATTCTTTGCCTCCTTCAACGACGTTCCTTACTGTCGGATCGAAAACAACAACTAAGAATCGGAATCGTAAGTAACGATGACGATGGGAGGATCCGGAGGGAGCTCGCTTGTTTCCAAGGTAACCATTTTCTTCCATTCGTGCGCTTCTCACACCATGTCGGGTCGGGGACGGGTCGGTTCCAGGTTGCAATTTCTGACCCTTTTGCAAAATCTGGTCGGATTCGGGTCTCATCAAATAATAGCATGTCAATATCGGATGCAACCCGATTTTGACACCCCTATCCCTAAGATTAATAATTCTCAAAAATACATCAAAGTGATTCTCTGGATGAAGGAAATATGCTCGTATTTTGATTTGTTTAGGTCAACATACAGAAGAATTTTATACCAATTATGATCTCAAACCTTGCTGTCCTCCTTGTTGCAACCTAGGTTAACCACCTCACCACACCCGCGACCCTCAATCCTGTGCAATCTTGCTACAACCTAAAAAAAGCTCCGCAAGCTAGCAAACTCCATGACTCGCCTTCCTCAATATTTTCTCTTTATACACTAAGCCAAACAAAAATTGTATATTTTACAAACTATTAAATTAAAAAAATACATAATGTATTTGTAATATATCAATATTTTGAATACTTATAATTCAAGCTTTCCCTTAGAAAAAATTTAGAAAGAAAATCAATTGTGAGATTTTTGTCCCACGCTGCTAAGAGACAGTGACGTTGGAGCTCTAGAATTCTTCAAGCCTTCTATCTCTATTGAATTTAAGGCCAATGATCCTTTTATGTAGATAATAGGGGGATATTTATAGATTTTGAAAGTACCAAACTCCTATAAAATAGCCAAGTTTTTAAATTTAAGTACCTTAATGATGTCAAAATTAAGCAATTGTACTCGTTAAACTGGTCTAATCAAGCTGCTTAATTTGATTATAATCATGTCTAATTAGAGATTCATCCCGATTGAGGTGAGGACCTATCGAATTTGTTTTATTAGTGTAATATTTCTTTATATAGCATTTGCTGCACTGGTTTTGAAAACTCCTGTGAGTAAATCTAGCCACTAAACTCTCGTGGCTGGGCGTGTATATAAAAGAACCCCGCGCCCCTTCCCGTTACCAGTAGGAAAAAAACCAGAGGAAGAGAACAGAGCTATAGCATAAAACTATCATAGAACTGAGGAAGAAATAAAAGAAGGGAGCTTTCAGCTTTCAGAGCCATCTTTGGTTCTCGAGAATGGAAGGACAAGCGCAGCAGAAGCAATCTTTGTCAAGGTTTAAAAGGATCTGCGTCTTCTGCGGTAGCAGCTCCGGGAAGAAGGCAAGCTACCAGCTCGCAGCTATACAGCTCGGCCATGAATTGGTCAGTTCTCTGTTTCATACGTCACTGATCTTCCCTTTGTTTTCTGTAAATTGAATTTCTGGAATAATAACATGATTAAAAAAGCTTCTTTTTCTCTTACGATCTGCTCTGGTTTGGCTAATTGTTCCGTCTGTGCAGGTGGAGAGGAACATTGACTTAGTCTATGGTGGCGGCAGCGTCGGCCTTATGGGCGTCGTCTCTCAGGCCGTCTTTAATGGCGGTCGCCATGTTATCGGGTCTCTTTCTCTTTCTCTCTCAATCTTTTCCTCAAGAATTGCACAAAGAAATTATATTTCTGATGATTGTTAGTATGAAGAGCTGCTAAGTTACAGAGCTTTCTTTCTCAACAATGGAGGATTGGTAGTAGAGAAGGTTTGCTCATGAAGCCTGTTCTGTGTACATTGCAGGGTAATTCCGAGGACCCTCATGCCCAGAGAGGTATTGTACATGACAACTGGGCAACATTTCTCCTCACCCCACCTATCTCAGACATTACACTTTGTCTCCAAATTAATAAATTTATATACATAGAAAGAAAACATTCCTTCTGTATTTTCATTATCAATTATTTCTATTAAAATGGTTTTTTTTTGGTTCCTTTAATCATGAATAATATGATTCTCACCCTCAAAATCAGGACAATTTCAACACATTGCTTGGCTAATAAATAGAATTTGAATTATGGAGCAAAATTATATAAATATGAGTTGATTAAAAAAAATTTATTTCATTTATTATGAAAGAAAGAAATTTTCAATTCAAATATTTTTTGCAATTAAATGAGTAAAAAAAGAGTGGAATTAAAGAAGATAATTAAAAATAAATCAGTTGTAGTAAGAAAAATGCATATATTTTTAATATTCTTGTTGTTGAATGGTTTAATTTTGATATATATTAAATGTATTTTATAATAATATTTTTCAAATGAATTGTCATATGAGCTTGAGATTCAAGTTGGGATTGAATCATATAATTTAAATATTATTTTGTTGTAAAAATATGAGTGTATTAGTCTTTGTTTAAATAAAAAAGTGATTTAGGCTTTATTTGAGACATCTTTCTTATAGCTTTTTAATTCAGCTTTTTAGTAGAAAAATATCTTAAAATTAGAATTTTTTTGACAAAAAAATTGATTTAAAAAGAAAAAACAAAGTTTTCTAAAATAAAGTCCTAGACTTCATTTGAAACAGTTTTTTTACTACTTTATGAAGCAGTTTTTTAGTACAAAAATTTCAAAAGTTACTTCATAAGCAGAAAGAAAGATGCGCCAAATGAAGTCTTATTCTACTTGAATTTAGTTTGTATTAGGTTCTATAAGCAGTAGCTTTACTGTTATTTAGCTTTTAAACCACACACTTCTTTTTTGCTATAATTTTTTTATGCTTCTTAGAAATTTTTATGATACGATGTTGTTTTTTATAATTAGTTGTGTTAATATATGATGACTATAAGAAAAATGTTCTCCATTTTTGTCAAAAAAGAATATATTTATATTATTCATAAAAATTTTCAAAAATAAAAAAATAAAGTTTCCAAAACAACATAAAAAACATCTTTATAAAAAATTGCAGCCGCCTCAAATAAATCCTTAATCACTTATCTTGTCCCCTTTAATCCATACCTTTTAGTAATGATATGAGAGCTAATAAGTCTACTATGATCTGATGGTTTATTTGATTTCTAGCTCCCCTTGGTCTTTGATATCTTCCAACATGACTAAAGAAAGGTTTAAGATGGCCTGAAATGATTAAGTGTACTCTTAAGGAGAATAATGATATTTTTATCTCTAATCCTAACTTGATATAAGATATCATATCATCATTAGTTTAACAAATCCAGCTTTAATATTCCATTAATAATACACTCACAAGACAAAGCAAAACTACTATAGAAAATAAGAAGTGGTGCCTTCAGTGATACCGATAGTTAAAGTTGTTAAGTCTTCACTTCAGATAACTGGAGAGACTGTAGGAGAAGTCAGAGCGGTCTCTGGCATGCACCAGAGAAAAGCAGAAATGGGAAGGCAAGCTGATGCCTTCATTGCCTTACCTGGTAACCATTTTTCATCCATTCATCCAATGCATTTTATCACTACTCTATTTTTGGGTAGAATTTTCTTCTCATTATTGGAATCTGAAAAGCAAAATTTGTGACTTTTCAACTTTTTAATGTCAATAACTGTTCACTTTGTCATAATGGTAATGGTATGGGAGTTATAGTTCTCATGCTTTTTTCTTTTGCATTAGGTCCCACATTGTTCAATAATTAATTTATATTTCATAATGTAATCTTACTATAGAATATAATTATAAATATACTAAGGGTCTATTTGTGACAGCTTTGTGAATGCTTTGCTTTTCAAACAGCAATCACAATTTATTTGGGTTATTGCTTTCTTGTTGTTTTTCATTGTCTTTCTACCTTTTCTATAGTGAAAAGCTGATGTATGTCGTAGTAATAGTAAAATTGTTTTCTCTATAGCAACTTCACAACTAGCTTTATAAAATGTTACAGCCATTCCAAATAAATCTGAAGTTTTTGCTTGTAGTTTACTGGAGTTATACAAAATTTCTAACCAACAGGCCACCACCTCTCCCACACTACAAGATGATTTAGGATAAAATAGTTATATTATATATATAAGCTTATAAATGAGAGGCAACTCAGCAACCAATTGGTCCCACCATAGGTCAAAAGAACTATATATTTCCCACCACTTAGGTTTTGTTTGGGACAGCTTTTTTGCTGTTTTCTAAAACAGCTTTCTAAAAATACTAGAAAGTTGTTTTAGAAAGCAACAAAAATATTGTCCCAAACAAAACCTTAGTGTTCGGGAGTATTACAAATTCAGCAGGTGATTTACCTTGCAGTCATCCTACAGGATAAGTGATGGGCCATAGGAAGTTTTGGGAAGTTGCCATCAGCTAATGCCAAGTTTCCTTAGAGACTGTGGTGATGTTGTCACATTTGGATCAAATAGTGTAATTTTCATGATAATAATGTACGACAGAAGAAAGATTGATGGATCTAAAAAGATGTGTTGTTGATGATAAATCCTTTGCAAACGACCTGTTTGAAAAGGGCTGGAACTGCATCTTAAGGGCACATCTTGGCTCCAAGCTCTGAAGCTTTGGGGCCCTAAGAGTGCCCACTGCAGGTAGGGCTATCCTCACATGTTATGGAACAGTAAGGGAATAGTTATGTGAACTGACGTAGTATTTGATCTGGCTTGTTGCTTTCGTGCATGTATTGATTGAGAAAATCCAGGTGGGTATGGAACATTGGAGGAGCTGCTTGAAGTCATTACTTGGGCTCAGCTTGGGATACATGACAAGCCAGTATGTTTATCTCTCCATCTTCAATTTTTTTTTTTTTTTTTTAATTGTTTGATTTGATTTTGTTTAGGGTGTTTTAATTCGTGTTATTGACAAATATTCTCTTTATATCACTAAAAAAATTGTTGATGATATAAAAAATAAGGGAACTTAAGAAATCTTTGTGACCATCTGGTAGAAGTTGAAAGGAAAAGATTTGTCATTAGATATTCAGGTTTCGTTTGAGACAATTTTCTTAATGTTTTTTAAAATAATTTTTTAGTACACAAATTTCTTGAACTAAAAATTTTTGTATTAAAAAACTGCTTTAGAAAATAATAAAAGAGTTGTCTAAAATGAAGCCTATATTGGCAAACTTAGTTTGATTTTTTTAAGTGAATGCAAATTTGTATTCTAATGTGTTTTGATGAATGTTGTAAAATAATAATAAATATTTTAAGAAAATAATTAAAATTCCCAAAAAATAAATCCAAATTATATAGCTAAAATGAACTTTTTTTAAAAAGCTAAAGCATGAGAAAAATATAATGTTTTTTTTTTTTAGTTAGCTTAATCGGAATAGCCATGCATTATCAGTCCATTTATTTGTACTTTAGAAAGACATTAAAAAATTGGAGCTTATGGAAAATCATTTATAAGAAGTTTTCTGTTTTCATTGTTTTCTTATGGTTAATTGGTTATGCTTATTAGCTTTCCATAGATTACATCTAGAATGATAATAAAAAGTCATTTTTGCACATATATGAATTTTATATATGCATTCATCAACACTATATATATCCACAAGTATGCACACACAGTCACACACATTGGCGTATACACACATAACAAACACCCGCATGTACGCACACACACTCAAGTGTGCCCACATGCACATGCACACAAACACATGCTCACTCGTATACACATATGTGCACACAAATGCATACCCGCACGCACACTTCACACAGACACACACATGCCTATTCCCACGCAAACCTCCATGTACTCATGCACGAGAAATTATTTTGTGCGGTGTCCGAAAGCGTCCGGAGGCTGATAATCCGGGAGTGTCACATCATCTAATGCATTGTGTATTGGATGACATGATGCGTCCGAATTAACATCCGGATGTGTCCAGACACTGCATGCAATAATTTTTCCTCATGCGCACACACAAAATATATATGCACATTTCATAGGCAACAAGTATATAGAATTAATGAATAATTGTAATGAATGATTGAATTGTAAAAAAAAAAATTGCAGGTTGGCTTGTTGAATGTGGAGGGGTACTACAATTCCCTCCTAAATTTTGTCGACAAAGCAGTTGATGAGGGATTCATTGATCCAGCCGCCCGTCATATTATAATCTCTGCTCAAACAACCCATGAATTGCTATCTAAGCTCGAGGTACTAAGCGCTACTTATTTATATCATTTTTTTTTCTTTCAAATCATCTTAACTATATTATTATATATATATATATATATATATATATATTATATATATATCCCATACTGATATTATTTAAATATAAATAATAACTCGTCATGCTAAAAAATATTTACATTAAAAGTAGGATAAAAAAGTTTATTGATTTTTAGCTGGTTGAAAATTGCTTTTTTTATTGATATGCTGGCTATAGGCTTTTTATATATTTTTTATTAGATTTTTCTAGTGATTTCTGTGTATTATCTATTGTCAGGGATGTAAACGAGGTCGAGTCATCTCTATCTTGAGCTTGAGCTTGATTAATTAATGAAGTTCGAGTTTGAGCTTGAGCTCGAGCTTTATCTTACGAGTTGAGCCGATAAAGCTTGAGCTTGGCTCACAAACCGACTGGGTTTATTATGAAAGATAGAAAATGATTATGATTTAAGTAATTAATATAATGAAATGGTAAAAAATGAAAATTTAATAAAAATTAATAAAGTGTTACTTAATATAAAAAATTATGTTATAAATTTAAATATTTTTAACACTTTCATTGAAAATACTAAATTCTAATATATTTTAATTATATTTATATTCATATTTTTTAAACGAGTCAGCTTCATGAGCTTGTAGAGCTAAGTCAGAGTTAGCTCATCGAACCGGCTCAAGAAACTATATAAAAATACTCTATAATATTATATTGAAGAAGATAAAAACAGATTGATCCTTATCCACAGGTTCGCATAGAAAATTTTTTTCAGTAGGTGGTGTGGTCGATCATTGGCCATCACTTCTAATGTTTAGGTGGGTAGAGTACAAAGGTGAGATACATAATTAGGGCAAGAGTAGGTTTTGACATGAGGATTTAAATTCCTTTTTCTTTGATAAATTTGAATATTTTTTACCGTTATCAAAATTTTCTTATTTTAATTGAAATGTTATTCAAAATTAAGTTATAATTTATAAATGAGGATTTTTGTCATTTTCTCTATAATAGTTTTACAAAGTAGTAATAAAATTTCTCAAACAAAATCTAAGACTTCATTTGAATGATTTTTTTTATTGTTTCTTAAAATATACAACTTTTTTAGTAAAGCCTTTTAAAAAGTTATCCTAAAAAGCTAAGATTTCATTTGGGATGACTTTTTACTGTTTCTCTAAAGCAATTTTTGTATAAAATTCTTAATTTTTTAACTAAAAAATTAAATTAAGAACAAATAAGAAAGCCGTCTCAAACAAAGCCTAAGGTTTTTTTTTTTTTTATTTTTACTTTTAAAAACTCTTTTATGGGCCACAATCTAAAAAATGGTATTTGAAAAAATAATTTTTTAAGTCAAGAATTTAAAAATGTGATAAAAACACTCTTCTAAACACATTATTTTTTACTAATTACTTTTGTCAAAAAATTGTTCCAAATAATGTATAAGAGGAATTGTATGAGAAAATTTTTTATAATGTGCATAATTATTAAACATTTAATAAACATAAAATTTTCATTATTATTATTATTATTATTATTATTTTGGGACATTTAGGTCATTTAAGACAAACTCACACACACAATCGCATACACATAAACTCAAATCCTAAGACTCTTTAGTTGAAAGTCGTAGCTCTAACCAACAAGCCAAGGAGAGCTGTGTATTTTTTTTTTTATTTATTTTCATTATTATCGAAAGGCAATAATTTTTCTTAAACTAGATGGGCCAGCTCTCTGGTTCCACCACTTCATAGCTTCACTTGTTGGGATCTGAAAGAGCATTCAATAGTGTACAAAACTTTTAATCCACTTCAATGAAGCATTAATGATTGCTAAGACTTTGACTATTTTGTGATATATTTTTTAAATATATTATTAAAATTTAATTTATAAATTATTAAGTAGTTTAGCCATGTTTTAATACTATAATTAATTGTTTTTTATAAATGAAAATGATTATTAAAATAATCATATAATCATATCTTTATAATTATAAAATAATATTTATAGTTTTTTTTTTAAATGATATAATTAAGAGACAAATGTCGATAATCTTTTTTTTTCATAATTTTATTGAAGGTTGAAATATGATATATTTATTAAGTAAAAAAAATATTGCTATGGTTTTGGGTTTTGTAGGAGTATGAGCCCATGCACCATGGTGTCACACCCAAGCTCAATTGGGAGAAGGAGCAATTAGGTCAAGCAACTAAATTGGACATTGCGCGTTGACTCGACCTTCTTTTCTCATTTATGTATATTATTATTTTTAATTATTAATGGGTTTATTATAAGCCGGAAGGCAAGCTTAATAACTACTTAGGCTTCGTTTGGGATGGCTTTTTTGCTGCTTCTTAAAGCAGCTTCTTATTACACAAATTAAAATTTTTGTACTAGGAAGTTGATTTAAGAAGCAGAAAGAAAACCGTCTCAAACGAAGCCTTAATTAGCTTTATATGTACCATTTACTTATTTTGTAAGCTCTCTTTCTATTACAATATCATTTTGCTATCTCATTATAATTAAGATTTCCATATTAAGTTTGGATAATTAGTTAAGCTCATACGTAAATTTGCATGGCCTCAAGATGTAAGTCTACATGCTCTATATAATGTATATTTTTTTATCATTGAGATTAGTTTAAATAATATTTAATAAGGAGCATTCATTAATTAGTAATACATTAATTAATTGAATTTTAAATTGTTCAATATTTTACTATCGATTTTATCCAATCAAAATGACTTTCATATGTTAGGACGGTCGACGATATCTTTATTTAAGTCTTAAATTTTTCTTCTAGATATTTTAATTAATTATTGGATCTATTCTCATAATTCTCAGTTTAAAATATTAATAAATTTGTAATATCATTATTTTACCTCCATACTAATTATAATTCAATTAATTTTATCAAAATAAAAATATATAAATAAACAATGAATAATAACTAATTACTTAAACATAAAAATCATAATAATTAATTTAATATTTTTAGTCATTTAAAAAATTCTATCAACATGCAGTTTGTAAGCATACAATTAAACTAAAATATGTAAATGCCATTGATAAATAAAGTAAATATTTAATAACTAGAATTAAACACATGAAAAATAAGTAGAAAAACCATACACTTCACTTTAGCTATCATTTCCTTATAGGCCAAATACATTGTGAAGCACTTCATTGTTAGGTTCATCTAATGGGGCATGATATATGATCAAGACATGAAAATAATGTTCAAGAAGAAGAAAAACAGGCTGACCTTTTTTTAAAAGGAAATCAATGTGATTCTTTATGCCCATCTCTATATTATGGAACTAGAAAATTATTAGACCATATGGGCAGAGGCAGAGGTATCAAAACAGGTTGATGGATTGGGTTTAGATTTGACTTGAAAGTGACTTGAATCTAATTAAGCTGAATCCGACCCGTTTAATAAATATGTCAAAAAGACAAACCTGAACCTGACCCACTAGCAACCTGAATGACCTGAATCGATCAGACCCGCTAACCCATTTTGATTAAAAAATTTATGAATAATTAACTATGAAGTTTATGATATTTGATAAAAAATAAGAAGATTATTAAAAACATTTAAGAAAGAAGGATGTTTAACGAAGCATTTTATGATCAAAGGGGATTTGCGGGTCAACCCAAGCCCAACTCGTTTAATAAACTGATAAAAAAACACAACCTGGACCCGACCTATTTATTAAATATGTAGCCTGAGTCTTTTTTTTTTTTTTTTTGGTCGAGCTAGTGGGTTGGTCATTACATTAAAATCACATGTAATATTTTTTTTATATGTTAGAATAATATAAAGAGAAATATTATAAATATAGATCATAAATATCACATGTAACATTTAAGAGTTCATTGTCTATTTAAAATTTACAATCCTCATAATTATAATGTGGAAAAAATCATAAAATTTGTGTTCATGAATATAGGAGAGTTGATAGCTAAATTATATAAATTTTTGTCTTATGTCATGTGACAACCTGTTAGGGTTTAGCATCTTCCATTGAGAAACAAACAATATGTACCAATCAAAAATGAACAAAGACAGAGACAAGTGGGCATAAAATTTCAAAAGAAAATTCTCCTTGCCTGTAGCTAATTTTGAAGAGCCTTTTCTGAGAAATTTTTATGTGCGGATGCTGAATATCGTATGGAAACTAATCAAAATTTGTCATGACATTCCTTCGCTCAATACCGCTCGGTACCATTGATGTGCATGTATTTGATTCGCCTCCGAACGTAGAGCTGTATCTGGTGTCCGCACATAATAATTCCTCTTTTGTTTTCTTGATGATTAAAGCCGAGAGGGTGAAAATGTAGTGTTAATAACGCTCAGCATTTTTATATGATGCTTATATTTCTATTTTATATTGTACCTATCAAAAATTTAAAAAGAAAAGGGTTGTATTGAAACATGAAAGCAAAAGGAGAAAGGGATAGACAGTTAAAAGCACCTGACATTTTTTCTCTTTTACACAAGAATTTGAACTGATAGCTTTTTTTTTCTATGGTTAGTATTTGGCCAACCATTATCAATTTTCAACCATGCGAATAATTTTGAATGGTTGACTTTGAATCTTGAATCCGATAAAACTATATAGATTTTGGATGAGTTGGATTGAAAGTCAATCACCAAATGAGCGGGGCTTGGTGATGATTATGTTATGGTTTTATTTTAAAAAATGGCCTAATGATAAGGCCCATTAGAGCCGAGTCTAAGATTACTGATTAGATAAAGGTCATCACGACCCTGAATTCGATAGAAGAAACCAAGCTAACAAAAGTACTCAATCCCGTGGCTAACCAGAAGAAGATATTAGTCAGTAGGGTTATTGGTCCAACTCCTTAAAAAATTTGATCATAGTTTTCGTCTATAAATATTATGTCTTATAAGGCACTCATTGACATAGCTACGTGTCAGAGCTCAGTCAGACCAAGCGAGGCTAACCAACTACTTCATGCATTTGATCCTTATTTTGAACTTACTAAAGCTCATTTAATTTAATCAAATGATTGCAACTAGCAACATTTAGTTTATAGCAAGTTTTAATTAGACTTTTTCTCTTTTGATTTGCTTGTTATCCTTAATTATAACGTTTTCTATAGAGCTATGACTCCATGATCCAACCTATAAACAAGAGATCCAAGGGCAAGCTTAAGACATTATAAGTCTAGTACTTTCTAGTAGCATATACTATAGAGAACTCTCATTAACTTTCTCTTTCCTTTTCTCTTCCTCTATCTATTGTTATGTAGTCGTTATGAAAAGTATAATTTTAGTTTTATTCATAGAGAATTTTAAATTTAACACTTAGCATAAATTTAAATTCAATCATGCTAATACATAAAAAAACTTAGCTCAATTTACAATTAATTATAATAGGTTTAGTCAAAATTAGGGCTTCATTTGGAAAAACTTTCTTACTATTTTATGAAGTAAATATTTTTGTACAATTTTTTTTTTTAATTATAATTTTTTTACTAGAAACCGGCTTCATGTAGTGATAAGAAAGCTGTCATAAATGAAGTCCAAGACTTCATCTTCATGTGGGACGGCTTTTTTATTGCTTTTTAAAACGAAGTTTAAAATTTTTTTTTATTGAAACTCTGTTTTAAGAAGTAATAAAAGAGCCATCCCAAATGAAGCCTTCATTTGAAACGGTTTTCTTACTGCTTCTTAAAATTGTTTTTTAGTAAATTCTCGGGCCTTTTTGTTAGCTACGGCCTTCATGGGCCTTTTAAATAATGTCGTCCATATAATAAATTATCTAATAAGTAATTAAAATATAATTAACTGGCATTTTATTGAGTTCTTAGCAACATACTTATTAAATAATAGATCATGATCTCAACATAAATAAGCAAGAGAATCGATGATCACATATGAAAAATTTTAAATTTAATAATTATCTATTCAATTATATAAATAAATAAATCACATATGAATGAATATCTTCATATGCACTTTATATGGCATCAAAAAATTTATTTGATTAAGCACAAATCTTGACATAATTTTCATATGTCAAAGCACCTATGCATTATAACCTAAAATTTTAGAAAATATCTTAAGAACACTCAAATTTTATTTTTTAGTAAATTAATATTCAAAATTAATGTTTTTATTCATCGTTATCAAGGCTAGTGACCCTCCTTATTAGTCTTACTTCATAAAAGTAAAAAAAAAAAAAAAACCACAAAAGACCGGCAATTCTAATGGCTTAAAAAGCTTCTCTCATTTTCATCATGAAATGTGTAGTTCATGATTTATACATATTATATTATATAAATGTTGAAATGAATAACTCATTTTATAATTGATATATCATCAAAATTTATCTTGACCGGGCATGAATCTCGAGGCAAAATTAAGATAGAAACTTTCAAAATTAATTCAAGGTCATATAAACTCTTATTTATACAAACTTATAGTTGAATTAAGTGTCTCAAAAAAGACAATCCAACGACACCAAAATTGACCCAATTTGAGCTCAAATGGGTCCAAACCAAAGACCCGAAGCACATTTGGAAGGTTCAAACCACAATTTGGACTACCAAACAATTTCCAAATGTGACATGTTTATAGTCAAATCAACATGCTTAACGAAAGAATCCAACAAACCCAAGATTGTCGAATTCAGATATCATTAAAACATTAAAATGCATAGTAAAAGATCAATGATCAAGGGGATCAATATCGACCATCCATTCAAATCACTCACAACACACCCATAATTTCACACCTAATTACTGTCCATGGCACTCTCATAAAACTATAAATAGACCATCTCATTCCTCATAGAAAGGGGACAGAAGCAAGGAAGAGAATGAAGAGAGAGAAATTAGAGCACTCTTGCCACTTGACTTCTCCTCGGCCATCGTTGGACTATTGCCTGACTTCTGCTCGATCATTGACAAATGTTGAACTTATGCTTGGACACCAACTAAAATTGGACTTCCACCCATCTTCAAATTACTGTTGGACTTACACACGACAACTAATTGATGTTGAACTTCTGTCCGACCACTGTCTGACACCGTACTTAGACCTAACCACCAACTAACGCTGAACTTCTGCCCAGCCACTGATTGACACCAAACTTCCACCTAGCTGCCAACTACGATCCTTCCACAAACAACAAACTTTCTAACCACTATCTCATACCGACTAAGGTTATTCTGACCCCCATCGCCAACCAATTATTGTTATTCTAACCTCCATTGCCAACCAACTACGGTCCTTCTGACCTTCATCGTTAGACAACAATTTTTTTCCCACCACTGTTGCACCCCAACTACGACCCTTTTGACCTCCATCACCCGTCAACTATAATCCTTTCGACTTATGTCGCTAGACAAATGATCTTTCTGACCATTGTCTCTCGCCGACTATGATTCTTCTAACCTCCGTCGCTCGCTGACTGCGATCTTTCTGACCTCCATCACTAAACAATGGTTTTTCTAACCATTGTCGCCAGCCAACTAATGTCCTTCCGACCTTCGTCGCCAGACAATGACCTTTTTTAACCAATGTCGCCCATCGACTATGATCCTTTCAACATCTATCGCAAGATAACATTCTTTTCAACCTCCGTCACCTCCTAACAATAGTCCTTCTGACATCTGTCACCTAATAATGGTCTTTTAAACCTTCGTCTCCTGCTGAATACGGTTCTTCCGACCACCGTTACCCGATTACAATCTTTCCAACCTTAGGGCCCGCTAATTATGGTCCTGCCGACTAAACGAACATGTCAATACCGATTCTTCCAATTCCTACCATGTAATGCACTTTATATGATGTATATTTGCTAAACTATGTCAAGGACTTCCCCCAATGAAAGACCTCATTTGTAATCGACTATAAACACTAGTAGATTCATTCAAACTGGACAAGGCCTTATGGTTTTTCCCTCTTTCATAGGTTTCCACGTAAAAACTCTAATGTCTCTTATAAGCGCTACACCTTCTCTTTTATCTAATTGTGTGTTGTATCTTCATACAAAGCTAAGACATTAAACTTTATATTTTTCTATCGCCGCGAATATTCGAGTACGCAACAATAATATATGTTTCACTTTAGTAGAATCATTTAATTTAAATTAAAATTTTATTTGTGACAGCTTTCTTGCTGCTTTTTAAAACAGTTTTTTAGTACAAAAATTTATTGAACAAAAAAGTATTAAAACTTGCTTTAAAAAATAGTATGAAAACTAGGGATGCAAATGAACCAAACCGAGCCGAGTATGTTAATGTTCATGTTTGATTTCAGTTTTTATTAGCTTGTTCAAATTCGGTTCGTGTTTGATTTGAGCTTTATTGTTTGTGTTCATGTTTGGTTTGTTTAAATTAATGGTGTTTATGTTTGGTTCATGTTCGATTCGTTTAGTGGTTATTGAGCTTTAAACAAACAAGCCTTAACTAGCTATGTTCATAAACATATTTAGCCAATTTTTTTACACTGCCAAACTAGCACGTTCATAAACAAATCAAATAAGTATTCTTGAGCTATCAAATGAGCAAGATCATGAATATAAACATAATTAGTATTTTCGAGCTACTAAATGAGCTAGTTCACGAACAAACAATTTATGATTCATCTTATATTTGTTCATGAATATCTTACACAAATAATATAGCAAACATTGACAAATGTGAAATGTCTCTTGTTTGTGAACAAATTCATTCTATTTAAGGTATAAAATAAAATGAAATTAAATTTATAATAAAAGATTGGTTTTAGTTCGGGCAGAAATTAACATCCTACAAAATAGGGGTGTCAATATTTGACACGACCCGAAAACCCTACTGGAATACGATCTGAAAATTTCATGTTAGGGTCAACCCGAACCCGTTCCCGAAACGGGTCGTGTTCGAGTTCAACAATTCGACCCGTTTCAATAATCGAGTCGGGTTGACTCTTTGACCCGAATTTGACTTGTTTTGACCCGTCAACACGAGATTGACCCATTTTGATCCAATAACCCGAGATTGACCCGTTTGACCAGACAAACCGAGTTTGACCCGTTTAGACCTGAAAACCAGGGACTGGCCCATTTTGGGCCCGAAAACTAGCATTTTTTTGTTGGCACTGAGTAATTCGGGTCGTGTTGGGTTGACTGGACCCGAAGCGGGTCGGGTTTAGGTCCGAATAAATGACCCATTTTCAAAAGCAGGTTGGGTTTGGGTTGACCAGAATATTGTCGGATCAATTTCAAGTTCAACCCAAACCCGACCCATGACCCGAAATTGACACCATGTTGTTTTACTTCTCTCCATAACTAGACCTTTGTGGTTCGTGTTGGAACCGATCAAGCCCTAAGACCTACTAACGCCGCACGCCCAGTCGACCCAAGGCCTCAAACCAACCAAGGCGCACGCCTCGGTCGGCGTCTCCACCTCCTCCAGCATCTGAAGTCTCAAGCCTGCGAAAAACCCTAAAGCACAATTCCTTCCAGACTCTGAAGCATCGATCTCTGTGTGTCAACATCGTATCTTCTCGGCCAACATGCCGAAGGTCTATGGCACCGGAACCTACGATTTTCGGCGGCATCGTGTCGCTGAGTACCCGTTCGAGACGCAGACAGTGAAAACAAAAGAGAAACAACCGGAGAGACGTCCTGGAGGGAATGTAACTAGCTCCATAACACTTCTGGAGATCCAACGTGACCGTCTAACCGAGATTGCAGCGGCTAATTGGCTGAAGGCCTCTGGCGGGGAAGACTCACAACGGAAGTTTGACCCCGAGCTTGTGAAGGGGATTTACGAGACGGAGCTACTGGTTTTCGGCGGGCGAAAGACTGTCCCGCTTCAGAGGGTAATGATTCTGGAGGTTAGCCAGTACTTAGAGAACTATCTGTGGCCCAACTTTGACTCGGAAACGGCTACTTTCGAGCACGTTATGTCGATGATCCTCATGATTAATGAGAAGGTGTGAGATTTGTCAGTTTTAAACATTTATAGTTGAAATGATGGATTGTTCCTCTAATGTTTGTATCTGTTTTGTTTGCTTGTGATTGAAGTTTCGGGAAAACGTGGCGGCATGGATTTGCTTTCATGATCGGAAGGATGCGTTTAGGGAATTCTTGTGGAGGGTTCTTCGGCTGAAGGAAGAGGTTTTCTTACTTGGACATTCTCTTATTGCCTTCTTTGGCTTTGTTTTCAATTTGAATAAATGTTCTGTTTTAGTTTTAGTTCCTTCTGTGGTCATGCGAGACCTGCTACTGAATCCCTATACTTCTAGTTGGTGATTTAACTTATGCTTAAATTTCTTAGCTTTGGATGAAGTGGGAGAAAGGGAAATATGTATGTTTGTTATTTAAGAGGAGATGAATTTTCGAACAATTGCATTTTTGATTAATCTTAGGCTATTTGATATGTAAAATGAACCATGTTGAGCCGAATACTTCATTCTTGAACCTTGTTTATTTATTTTCTTTTTTGAGCGCTAGCCAATCTTGAACATGAACCAAGTTTCAAATATTATTTTTGCTTTTTTATTATTTTTGTATTGAGTTCAAGTCGTAATTGAGCCCAATTAATTATAATTGGGAATTTGGGATGCTAATGATTTAAGTAAATTGTCTTCCTATTGACAAAAAATGCATTCATAATGTTTTGTCAAAATCCATGATTATTCAGCTTATATTTTTTGTTAGCATTGTTTCTAATGTTTTATAAATGATAAAATCGTATTTTAAATCTATAGCATTTTTAATGTTTTCCTTATCAAATGCTAAAAAAATAAATCAAAATTTTAATATATCTATCTAGCTTTTTTGTTTAATATTTTCATCATATTTATACTTGTAATAATTTAAATAACATTTGATGAGCGTATATATAATAACATAAGTTATCTAAAAGCAGTTGTTTTGTCATTCACCGAGCATTTTATTAATCTTCTAGAAATCCGCTTGTTAAATAACAATTCATGAATGCAAATGTTCAAGCAAGAGCTAATGAACAACTCTTTTCAATATTTGCTTCTTCGTCTCTTGGGATCAATATCGAAAGAGCTAACGATCTTAGAACAATGACCAACAAACTCACATGTTGATGTAACATTGGTGAGTCCCATCAAGTCTAAAATTCAAATAAATCATAATCAATTATAAATGAAAATAAAAGATATCACTCATGATTGTTTTGGTCAATTGATCTTCTAATATACGTGTTTCAATAATTCCAATTCCTTAAATTTCTTCGAGCTTCATAACATTCCTTTCTTGATGAAAAATAATAAAAAGAGTAATTGGGCTTTAATTCGTATTTTGTTGGGGCTAAAATAAAAAAGAAAAAGGCATTCATTGCACTTTTAATTGAAACTTTTTAAGGCGTAGACAAAATTGAATTTAGTCATTTCAAAGTTGTTAAAATTTGAATAAAAATTAATATTTTTCATTAGAGAGTAAAAAAGCCTTAGATTCAAGACATCAACTAAAAAAAAAAAAAAAGAAGACCAAGTAGTTGGGGATGACCTTAATTTTGCTCCTTTTTTTGCTATCATAAACCTAAAGAAAAAAAGAAATAGATAGGTAAAGTGTGTCAAACCTCAGTGACGATATAGAGATGTAAGAAGAAAATCTCATGTAAGAGGGGCCATGGAAAGAATAAGTTTTAAATCACTATCTATTCTTCTTTTTAAACCCCACTGCAATTGCCCACATGTGACAAATGCCCCATAGATGGGATAAATCCTTGAACAAAATGGGAGGTAGCTAACCAAATGTAAACTGACCATTTTTTTATATATATCTTGTTATTGGTGAATATTAATGCCGTTCTAGAAAATCCTTATAATTGACTTGGCTCATTATACATCGAACCATACTGATTAATCTGAAACTATCATGATGGAGTATGCTAGGAGGAGAGAGTTTTTGGTGGGGCAGCAAAATGCATACGATATCATTCAAAATACCAATGTTGTAGGCACCATTCTAGCTCGATCTTATTTTAGATAATATAGGCTATTTTCTCTTTTTTTTTTTCCAATTTACTATTTTAGTAGGATTTAGACGCATTGATGATGGAAGTCTTCCGTTATTAGTTTGGTCGGGAGCACATCTCTTTCGGGTATTTTGGGTCCTTCTTTGTCACATTTTCCTTATAAAGAATATATTAATAGTTTTCTATTTGTTGGATTGTGTGTTTAATGATTCCTCACTGTTCACTGCCTCCTTGAAGGAGAGACATCTTAAACCATTAGATGAGGAGGGCATACTCACCACAATTTTCATCTGTGGAGGAATATTGAAATAGGAGGATAAAATAAACATATTTTAAGGTTACAAATAAGAATGGGCCATCGTAGTGCATAAAGAGTTGAAAATTCAAGCTATTAAGATGATAAGGATTAGCAATGTTATGATTGCAATAATAAATTGGTGAGGACATTATGAATGTGTTTAGTGCCTATGCAGTATGTTTCCTAAGTTGGATTGGCAGCTAGTTTAAAAAATCAATTTTAGGAAAAAAAGATGAATTTATGCCACATATACTTGAGGAAGAAAGTATATAGGATAGACTTCATTCCATGTTGGGTATGTAATAGGAGATGGATATGCATTGAGAGAAGCTATACCAAATTTTGTAATAGCATTTGATGATCTTGCAATAATGAATACTTACTTTAAGAAATGAAAATAATACTTGCTCACAAAAGTGGAGCTTCCAAATCACAAGTAGACCTATTTTTACATGAAAGAGAAGATAAATCTGCAAAAATTTTAAAGTACTTCTAAGTGAAAGCTTGATCACACAATATAGCATAGCTGTTATAGATATTTGTGGTAAGAGTATAAAGAAAACAATCAAAATAAACATTGCTTCTAAGCTAGGATGTTGGGATTTAAAAGATGGGAATTTGTTAATTATTTAAGGTAAGTTGCTAAGGGAGGCAAATGGAAATTATTTATTTATTTATGAGTTAAGCCTAATGTGACATAAGATGGCTATTTCCATTAAAAAGATTATTTGTAGGAGTTTTAGGAGATTCTTGAAATAGATTATTCATTGATTGCTGGTGGAGCAAGGAGCCACAAAAGGGCGGATGGTTATTAAGGTAAATGTGGGCTTTTTGGGAATGAAAAATAAATTTCTATTGAGTTTTATTATGATTATAAGTTAGAAATCTTTTAAATATTATAATATGTGAAGAAAAAACTACCTTTTCTTATGATTTATTTAATAGGCTTTGGTACTATGGAAGTAGAAAATGGGAGTTATAAAATTTCTAAAGTAAGAGATAAGAGATAAAGATTTTGATCAAGTTAGATGCATTAGAAGTGAATGTGCTGTAAGCTTAGTTAAAGATGAAGGGATAAAAAAGAATTAATTTTTTTTAGTAATTATTAAATAACAGCTTTAAGAAAAATAGGTTTTGAATAGCATAATGAGTCAATGACCAATATAATGAGAGATATTGTAGATTGATCTAAAAAGGCAAAGTGAAATTAGCTTTGAGGAAGAAGCATAAGGTCATAAAAGTTAGGCTTTACGTCCATATGAGTTACATGGTGAGATTTGAAGATTTATGGGGGACACTGTAATGATTTTGTCAATAAAATTTTTCATTGAAATTTTAAAAACTAAATGGTTGCAAAATGATTGAAGAGAGTATTTTGGTGCAATATTTTAGAAAGAAAATCTATTTAAGATCATCTTAATTATAGATGAATCAAATTTATGAGTCCTATAACAATCTTATGGGATGAAGTAATATAACATATGTTTAGAAAAATTATATTGATTTTGGATGTTTAATTTTGTTTAATGCTAGCAAAGATCTTGAATAGTAAGATAATTAATAAATAAGTTTAGAGAGAAGATAAATAATTTTAATTCTTTTTATTGATTATTAGGAGGCTCATAATAAAGTACCTCAAGAATTGATTTAGAGTGCATTTAGGCATAAAGGTGTTTGCCAAAGGTATGTTTAATTTATTAAAGATATGGAAAGTATGTTTAGAAGACAGAGGGTTTATGATTATTATTACAAAGATCAATCATATGTTATGCGGTTTTAGTGTATGTGGTATTAACAATTATAATTCAATATTAATAAAAGATAAACTAATATTTAGGTGTAATTAGTTTAAATATTTTTGGATCGATTACACCAAAGAATAAAGATAAAAATTTGAATATATCTTATTAAGTTGAAGGATGAACGGTTAAAAATGAGAAATGCCTTAGGAGTATTATTGGAAGATGACATCAAGGAGAGACTTCAAGTTAAGTTTTATAAATTTGTAATTGGGCCAATAATTATGTATGGATACAAGTATTGGGATATAAAAAGGTCATTGATGTCTAAGTTAAGTATGGTAAAAATGAGAATTTTAAGTTATCTCTAGTGTCAAACTAAAATTGTGATAGACAGGTCTAATTTTATATGAGTCGGAACAGGGAAGTTTCGCCCTCCATGTCTGCCGCCCCTGATGGTTGTGTCCACTAGCTTGATTAAGAGGAAATTAAGGAGGATTTGGGAGGGAAAATTCAAATAGAACGGGCTGTTTTGGGATTTGACTTAATTTTGTATCCTTAAGTATGTTTGGAGGCTAGGGTTAGATTTTTTTATCTCTATTTTTGTTGTAATTTTCTGGTTTTTGGTTTTTGCTTGGGCTCTAGCGGTGTCTAGAGATTTGGGAGAGTCGGATCTTCCTCTCTAATAAAAGATACATTGTACTTGTTGTGTTTCTTCATCTATTATCAATTAAAGAAGCTCGATTCTGGTTTTCCTTCCAAATTCTTCTCAAGTTCTATTTTGCACAGTGCTGAAATTAAATTTCAGCTAGGGAGGCTCTTGTTTCCTACAAGTATATCCTAACAAATTGATTTTTTATTTAGTTATTGATTCCTTCATTTTGAAATTTATTGAGGGAACGAAAAAAGTGAAATTGGTTATTTCAATGAAGTTGTTAATAAGAGTGTCTTAATAGAAGTTTGAATTTTAAAATCCAATCCATTTGGTCAAATCTGATTGTGTGTATTCTCTACTAATAATTAAGCTATTTGAGCTATTTTTTACGGTGTTTATTCATCCAAATTGACATTTCATATATTTGCCTTGCATGTTTACAATTTTTATCATCCCATGATATAAATACAGGTTATAAATCATTATTAATAATATTTTAGCATGTTTCATATCATTTGTTTGATTTTCTTGAATTGCTTGATTTGCATGAAGGGATTCACAGAAAATTAACAGTTGCTTATGGATATATTAAGTTATTGTAGATATAAATAGGAAATATTTAGAATTTAAATCAGAAGATAAGGTGTTGGGCTCCTAATTCTTGATGATTATCTATGTGAGCCTTTGATAAATTAATAGTAAAGCATGACCTTATTTTATGTTGCAACATATTTTGGTGAACACTTTCAAATTGAAAATTTCGGGAAGTACTGATATGTCCTGTATTCAATGTATCTTATTTATCTTTATTTCATGGACTCGGTGCTAATACCTTAGATTCTTCTCTCTTTCCCACCTCTTTTTGCTAATTCACATCCAACTCCATTGCTAGATGGATATACTTCTCTTTTCTAGAAACTAACCTACAAGCAAGGATCATGTCCCCGTTGTAGTGGTTATAACATGTTTGTTGTGTTATTGGATAACATGCTTCTTCATGAATCAACTATATGAACGCAATAGTTTGCCCAAGTTTGTAAGCCATTAAATAAGTAATTTTTTAGAGCTAATTTTCAAAATCATTACTATAATGTGAATTGTTAATCTTTACTTTCTATGATTATCTCATTATGTTGTTGTTGATGCGTTTACATCTTTAGCATCCACTGTTTCTTTAATGTTTTCCCATTGATAACATGCTACTAACTATTTTTTTCTTGCAGTCTTACTGTTTCTTCCTGTTTCTGGTGTTATTATCTTAGTTTACTGCTCCATTCAATGTCTTTCTTGCTATGTTATGCTGCCCCTCTTTATGGTTACATTACCCGCTATTTTTATGTTGCCTTCTTATGTCTACATCTTTGCTTGCCACAGTTAGTACTCCAATTCATGTCTTAACACTATTTTTTTTTACTTTGTTTGCAACCATGGAAGTGGGATTTGTTGGAAAGTTTGTCATTAGAATTAATACCAGATTTTTTTTTTAGAATTAATACCAGATGTATTGAAATATATTATTTTTAGGGTTTTTATATAATTTCTGTAGTTTTTATTTTGGTTCTTTTAAATGTTATATATAGAAACCTTGAGGCTTGTAAAAATTATTTAAAAATGAATACTGAAATAAAATTTTTAGCTTTCTTCTCTTCATGTGTGTTTGATGAATGCAAGCACTAGTACTTCCGATGGGAGACTCTTTGTACCAAGTTAAAGCCCGGTTCTTCTCTTTGGGCTTATTTATTTTTGTATTGTTGTCTTTTTAATTGATTAGATTGGTTTGGCATCATCATTGCATTTTTTTTCATGTGAGATATTTACCCAAGTTTTTTGCTTGAAGTGTGATCTTGATTAGTTGTTGAATTTTATTATTCATATTTTTTTATGAAATTTTATATTTTGGCCAATAGTTAAATTATTATTGGGATAAGTAAAACATATATTGTCTATATATTATAAGCAACAATTTCTTACTAAAATTGTGGGTAGTGAGGTTGAATATTTTTTAAAATGATTTGCAAAGAATTGGTTTGACGCCATATACAACACTTGACAAGAATATATTTAAAAAAAAGAGTATGCATAAAGCCTGCCTTAAATAGTTGTGGTAAGGCTAACAATGATGATTTGTTTATTGCCTAGGATACAACAAAGCTAATTTTTTTAGTTTTATTTTAAAAAAAAATTCTTTAAAGTTTTCATAATAAATTTTTAATCAGATACTACTTACTAAGGCTATTTTCCATTTTGATTGCTGAAATTGATCCTACAAATTGTATTCCCACTTATATTCTTCTCCTTGGATGTAAATGGTCCTAGCCATCCAAACCTATTATACCTAAAAATTTCTTGAGCCTCTATTTTTATTGGCTCATCATGATGGATTTCACACCCATTAAATCATATAATTTGCAACTCTTCTATTCTAGTCTTCTTTCTAGTAATCTAAAACTCTTCCATTCTAACATTTCCTTTCGTTATTCTAGCTTATAATTTCAGGAACAATCCCCTTAAAAAATTATATCATTTGCAAGCAGCATATATAAAGGTACATTCTTTCAAGTATTCTTCTGAGCATAACCTCAACATAGTTAAACTTAGAGATTTAATGGTGATTCTCTATATAACCAACTTACTAAATTTGGGAACCCCTTCGTCAATTCTGAAATGCCTTCTATAATTTTGACAAAAAGGCTTTTATTCTAATCTTCTCAATGACAACAGGATAAATTTGTTGTATTTGGTTATTTTCCTTTTCATGCTTCAACAGAACCTTATGAAGTTGCTATCTTTTTAAACTTCACCATAGCCATAATGAATTACAAAAAATCAATAAATAATTTAAGTATTTTAGAAATTTTTTGTTGTGCATGGAAAACTGTTGTTTATGTAGTTGAACTGTTAGAATCAATTTCAGAGATTGAACTGAACTCATTAACTTGAGTTCAAAAACATGAAATATATCTGTCTTCAGGTTAACATTCAAATCTTCGAAGTTTTATTTGAGGTTTTTTTGAATAAATATCTCTAAATTGTATAGCTTCCATGCAATTCTCAATTGTAATTTTAACGAGGCAAAGGTAGAACCTGATTTAGCCAAAAGCTTCCATACTTTATGCCACTTTCAATTCTCTGTATTATGGACATCAGATCAATGTTGTGATTGAATTATGATTAATTGAGTTTTGGTGTTTTGATCTCAGAACATTGTGCTTTTAGATGTACGTAGAGGGGCTAGATGATCAATATTCAATGTGAAGTTCTGTTAGCATTTAATAATGTAACTATCCTCGGGAAAAATGCTTATGGACTATTGTTTTCTTCTTTTTATTTTAGATTATATCAGCAAAATATATAACTATAGTTTGATGGAGAGTCATTATTATATTGCAGAAGCATTTCATTGATCCCTATCAATTTTACTTATGCCAAGGAAAATGAAAGGGCTTCATATCTATCTTTTCATAATTTAAAAAACTTGTTCTTAAGCCTGTTGGTCATTATCCTCATATCTTGTTCGGTTCATATGATTTTCTTAATTGTGCATAATATGGTCAGAACTATGAGTTTTGTTGTTTTTAGCAACTTACATAAATATGCTTCCTTGATTATGCTTTTTCTAGTGCTTCAAGATTTCAATGTAACATCATTTGTTATTATTTTAGGGAAGAAAGCTGACTATAGCAGAGAAGACAAATTACTTACTTTTCATGATTAATGCCTTCCAGGTAAATTTAAAAAAAAATCATGATTTTGTTAAATTTGATAATATTTGGATGCACAAAGTAGGTGGTTTTACTTTATAATTATCATGTGCGAACAAATGAATTTATATAAGAAAAGTGTCTTTTCTTCTGCTTTGTGCTAGAAGGAAAAAAAATCTCGTGCCTAAATATGCACTTTGTACTTTGAAACTAATTGTTAGAGTGGATCGGATTTTAATATTGAAAATCATTCTCTCTTTTAAAAGAAGGTTTCACAAAGCAATGTAGTGGATATAGTGTTAGAAGTGTCAAGCGTAATACAACAATAACAATCTTAAGCCTTTATTTCACTATGGGGTCGGCTACATGAATCATTTTTCTTCATTGTATTCTCTTAAAGTTAAAGAGTAATGCAGTGCACTTTTTTTTTTTGGCTTCAAAGTGCTAGAGTAAGTTGAAGCAACACTTTTTAATATTGAAAAACACCATTATTCTATTCGTTATGCACATGCAAAGAAATTTTCTTTTTTAAAATTTAACTTTTTAATCAGCCTTTCATATTTTATGGTGTTTTAATCATTGATTGAAATCTTCTTATCATCACTTTAGTATTTCTAAATTGATAAAATGTTTAGATATTTTATATCTCACCTTAATTATTTTATTTATCTTCTTTTCTTAATTTTTGACATACAAATTTTCATATAAAATACCAAAAATTATCATCTTTTGCTATGCTCACCATTTTTTTTTTGAGATTTCTAACATTTCTATTATTATTTCATGATGTTTTTTTTTTATTCTGTTAGTCCTTTAACACACATTTACTTGCCTTCGTAAAATTTTGATGAATTCGGATTTTTTAGAATTATGAGATTTGTAAACAAATTATATCCTAAATTTTAAGTCTTCATTATAAGGTTTTACTTTTTGTTTGCAAATCTCATTTTTCAATCTTGTTCGGTAACATAAGCTTAGGCTAAATCACATGTGCAGGAGTTAAGCCCATAAAATAATCAATTAGTCTAATATTGCATACATGAAAAGTTTAGCAATAAATCCATAGACTAACAATGAGATTAATACTATGAAGCATCCCTCACACAACTCTATAATTTACTAGGCTTTAGCGGAGGACTAATAGATCTCAATGAATCAATTAAATTCCACAATTGAAGGTAACGAGAAAAATAAAGAGTGAGGGAAAGAGTTCACCGAAGGTAGTCGGCGACGGATGGATTGGTTGACGTCCCACGATCATCCACGATCCGATTGGGAGGTGTTCCTCAATTGACGGTGCCAACGTGAAGATGATGCGTTCAATGTAGCTTTCCATGGAGTCGTCGACATCCAAATTGAAATTGAAGAATGGAGATCGGAGAATGTCGGTCCGGTCCAGAGAATTCTCTATGAACTCATGATCAACATCCAGGTCGGCCATGCATGATTGTCTAAGAGAGAAAGTAGAGAGTGAGAGGGGGAAGGGATCGGGTAGGTTCGGCAAAGCAAATGGGAAGAAGGGAAAATGGTTAAATTTGAAAATAGTTTCAGATCTAGTGAGTAATTACTAATTAGAGAGTAATTTCCTTGAAATTTGAATTTGAAACGAGTGGGAATTAGGAAGGAAAGTGATCCTTAATTTATATGACCTAATTAATTAGAGAGAGGAGAGAGAATGGGCCGGCCAAGGAGAGAAGAGAGAGAGAGAGGGATTAGGCATTAAGGAGATGGGCCCAAGAAATTAAGGGGGTTGAATACTTAAATCTGAAATTAATTTCAGATTTAAGTTTTTTTTTTTTTTTGGGGGGGGGGGGGGGGGGTTTTTGGGGGGGGGGGGGGGTGGTTCCTAAATTAAAGGAGCAGAATTTAAGAAAAGTTTTGAAATTCAAATATTTTGAATTTGAATTTAATTCTCATCCTAAATTAGTGGAGCCGAATTAAGAAAGCATTTATGGTAGATTCGAATTCAAAAGTTTGGAGGGAATTATGTGGCCGGCGGTTATTGTGGGGGAGAAGGATGTGGCCGACGGCTTTAGGTAGTGGAGCAAGGGGTAGGCAGGTGGAGCTTCAAGCCGGCGGCCAAGGGCTTGGGCTAGGTAACTTAGATCCATGAATTGAGCACTTTCCTAATATGGATTATGTCAATTTAGGAAAGAGTTCAAAATCTGAATTTGAAATCATATTTTGAGTTGGAGCTCCCTCCTAATCTTCATGCTCCACTTTTGGAAAGAGGTAAGACAATCAATTTTGGATCCATGGGAGGGGAAGGCCGGCGGTTAGGGTTTGGGGTTTGGGTGGTGTTTGGCTAAGAAGGAAGGGGAGTGTGTTAAGTGGAAGGGATCTTGTTGAGGTTGACCGGCAGCTTGGGGACTTGAAGTGGCCGGCTGGTGTTTGGTGAAGAAGAGGTGGCCGGATGTAGGGGAAAGGAAGAGACGATAAGAAAATACTATGAGTACTAACCATGAGTCCCGGAATCCACCAGCGGCTGATGGGTGATGCGTGACCCTCTCCTAGGGTTTCTCCTCAAGAACTCACAAAGAGATCAACAACAAGAAAGCTAAATTTTTTTTTTATATTCATCATTGAAAAATAATACAATGACTAGGCCTTCATATTTAGGCTTCCAAAGCACAAATGTAAAAGACACAAATGCCCTCAAGCTAAAACATGACACAAATCCCTCATAGGGGTACAAGTGAAAAACTGAAAAATAAATAAAAGAAATGCATTAAAACATCATAAATAGAGACTGAATTGTAGCCGTCGATCTACGATTCCGTTGATGTTAAGTACGTCGAAATTTCCGGTGGATGTCCTGATCATTTTTCTTTGTAAGTAAAATAAGTCCGTTTCTAATTTGATCCCTACTGTTCAAAAAATAATTTGGTGTTTTTCTTATTTCTTTAAAACATGAGTTTGCTAATGCAAATTAATATAGTACCATGAAACCAAATATATTTCTCCATCAAAATTCTATCTAAATTTAAGATAAACCTTGAGTCCTTTGATAGCCCATCTTACTAAACTTTTTATATTATTTTTCTCTCCAAAATTATCATCTCTTCCTCAAATATACATTATAATAGCCTATTCTTCTTTTAATTATTGCATTCTCATCCAAATTCATAAAATTTCATTAAGTAAATCACATCTTGATTTTATACTAAATTAATTCTTGCCACTTTTCACCATAATTAATTTTAAATTTTGGTTCATCACTTACTCCTAGTCAACTCTTTCTTATTTTTTACCATAATTATGTTAAGTTCTGGCACATCACGTACTGGTGATGTCCTAATAAATCTTATTTTTCATCTTGGTCCGGTTCTACTGGCACCTCAAATTTGGGGAATCCCTTAAAACTAGCAAAATTCAGGCATGCATTCATTTCAGGACCGCTGTAGTATGCAATGAAGACAAACCATTGGAGACAAACCTTATTAAGTATTTCCATTTTCTCTCCCGACTTCCCCCAACCCCCCTAGTCTGCGTAATTTTACATCATTTTGTTCTACCTCAACGAATCAATACCGTTGTCTTCATCATGTGCAAATTTCTATAAATTTACTATACTGGCTTAGTTGAATTGTAATGACGCAATTTATTTTTTTCAGGTAATGGTTGATTTGGAGCATGATATAACTTAATAGAAATTCTGAAACGTAATACAGATTATCTTTGCTATACTTTTGTGCACGTTATCTTTGTTAGTATTTTTTTATTGCTGTTGATTTTTTGTGTGTTAGTATTTTTTATTGATGTTGATCTTTGCTATACTTTTTACTGATCTTTTTATAATATGCTCACCTTTTTTTTTCAAGAGTTTGGAGGATGAAATTGTCAGTGAAACTGTTCTGAAGTTGGTAGGCTTGCAGTTATGGCACTGCCTTTCACCTGGTAGATTCCAGGTATAAGAGCAAAGTGATTTTGATTGGTTGAGTTACATTGTTAACCATGATGCTAAAGAAATGACAAATTCAATTGCATTTATAGACGGAGCTATGCTTAAACCCCCAGCTGACAAGAAAGTGGAGAAAAATGATTAGGAAAGAGGCCAAAGAAGCCAAGAAGCTAGGGAAGCCATTTGATCCTTCAAAAATGCTGGAGGCAGCATTCCTAAGGGATCTAATTGAAGAATTTCTGGAGGTAGGTATGATAAGTTCTGAGCTGGTTGTTTATCGAATCATTTTGCATCTTCAGGGTGTGCACTATTTATTCAATTGTGAACTAGATACTTGAGTTGAAGGCCAATCAAACTGATGACGTAGAAAGCCATTTTGGTGATTCGCATGGTGAAAAAGTGGATGATTCTTGTGTACTATATTGTGAAAGGTTCATGGAGTTCCTCATTGATTTATTGAGCCAACTTCCAACAAGAAGGTATTCAGTCACCTCTTTCATGTCTGTTACCTTTTAATATTATTTTCTTTGTTCTTTGTGATTTAAGTAATTGTTAGGATTAATTTAAAGCGGCTATGACGCTGAAGCTGCTGTAAAAGCTGAAATGTCCAGGTTAAGCAGGTGAGACCTAGAGTGCTGCTTTTTGCCATTAGGAACGTAATAAAGTGGCCTGACTGCATTACGCAGGAACTGTGTGTGGTGCAATGGATGGCACCGATGGATGGCACCGATGCATACTGAAAGTCATACCAAAGGAGTTTTTAAACTTTAAACTTAGACAAAAGCAGCCTTAAATCTTAAATGCATACATATACATTGTTGCACAAATGTCACGTTTTATCAGTAGATTAAATTTCCTTGAAACTTCTTTATCATATATAGTGATTCTCTATATGGGAAAGTTTATCATATGAATTTCTTAGTAATAATAATGGTTAACATTTCTTATTCCTTTCCAGATTCCTGAAGGCCGTTGTTGCAGATGTTGCTGTTGTTCCCAAGTGCCATTTGAGTGCTCTTTATACTCATGAAAAGGGCCGTCTTTTTTCCCAACTGGTTGATTTGTTACAGTTTTATGAAGGTTTTGAGATTGATGATCATACTGGGAGTCAAATGAGTGATGATGATGTGCTTCTAGCTCATTATTCCCGTCTACAAGCTTTCCAACTTCTGGCATTCAAACAAATACCTAAGGTGGTGTTGGACTATGTTGTACCTGATTGATTTTTTATAACAGTTTTTGCATTTTATTGTTTCTGTCATGCTTCAGTTGTTTATTAGCTGTTTTAAGCTTCAAAGAAATCCTGTTTTATTTTCTAGTTCTGTATGCAGTCTATGGGCAGAAATTTTTCTTAGCGAGCAACAAAAATTGATAGTCATTAGTTTTGTACAAACATCAAACAAAGAAAATTTTAAGAGTTTATTTTGAAGTTCTAAATCAAGAAATACTGTAGTTTAACTATTTTGTGTAATTTCCTTGACAATTTATGTGCTTCAATAATGTTGATCGGCATGATAAAATAAAAACATAAATTTCACTATAATCATTTGGCATGTTATCCTTTTAAGTACAAGAGAGTGTTTATAAGCCTGTCAAATAAACTGTTTGGCTTTGAGAGCCAGAAACTCGAGAACTATGTGCTAAATAGTTTTTTTTTTTGATAGGGTGCAACTGAATATTTTGAACAACTTTTAAGACGTCATTAACAAGTTGAAACAGATTATATCGCCTATGCCTTTTTGGCCAGAATTTTGCAATAGTTTTTGTTTATAAGATGTGAGACTTCATTATATTGTTTTGAAAAAAAAATTTGGGTGACATTTTAGAATTATTTTTTAATTTTTCTATAAGGGAGAAAAGGAGAGAGTAAGGAAAATTGCATACTGTGTTGCCAGGGGTGGGAGGGGGTGTGAGTACAGTCAGGGGTGAGAGGGGGTGTGAGTGCGTGACTGCGCATGGATGGAGAACGGTAGGCAGCACGATGATTGCAACAATGATGCAGTATGCGGCTAGGTGCTTTGGTAGGGATTTATGATTTATTAAAAAAATATCCTTTTCTAGTAATTGCTTTTGGTCCGAGCCAATGGGGACATTGGCCCCTATTACCCCCACTTGCATCCACCTATTATCCAATCCTATCATAAAATTTGACTTCATATAAAGAAAGGATTTAAAAATAAAAACTATGGAACTAGCTTTGAAACAATCCAAACCGGCCTTAATTTGTGTTTGGCAAGTTTCTATAAATAGTGCTGTGGGTACTAGAATTTTAATCAAAATGTTTCATTTATATTCACATAATTCTCTGTCCCACTTGTTATCTTTTCCTAGAAGTATAAGGCATGCAGTATTGCAAGAAACAGTCCATTTTATTTTGTTATTTTGTTTTTGATTTGTTATACATGGAGTACATGAAATAATACATACATACACGAATGGATACTTTCTTTTGCAAAGACTTAGAATGTAAAAGGTTTGATTTTTTGTACTGATGTAACATTTTAATTTGTTGGTGTAGCTGCGAGACTTTGCATTGTGCAATATTGGTGCAATTAACAAGCGTGCTGATTTTTCCAAAAAGTTATCCGTATTATCCGCTGAGGAGCTCCAAGACTTGATTTTCAACAAGGTTAGCTATGCCTGTTTTATTTTTCCTCACTAATTTTAATATTGTCTATTAAGGTGGAAACTACTTACCTCTTGGCTTAGAATTAGGAATAAATATCAAACTAAGTATATGATATCACCATAAAATACCAGGGAATTCGTAATTCAATAGAACTAATAATTTTCATCACTTCTGAATCTGTAGCCAGTGTTGTATTTTGGTCCTGTTTATGAAACGTTTTTCATGTGTAGCTTAGCTTATATGTTTTTCCTTCATATAGGTTTAGTTGTTTGATTTCCTTTTTGCTTGCAACTGGTGTATACTCTGGATTTTACTTGCATTTTCTCCTTGCACAGCTCAAATTGGTTTCAAAAGAAGATCCGTGTGCTTCAAAACTGGACTTCCTCCTTGAAGTTCTGGTGTCCTTCTTTGAAAAGCGCCAGTCCCAGAAGGATGCCATAAATGCTCTTCCTTTGTACCCAAATGAGAAGATAATGTGGGATGAAAGCCTTGTCCCTAGTATCAACTACTCTGGAGAAGGTTGCCTTGCTCTCCCAAAACTCAACCTCCAATTTCTAACGCTGCATGATTATCTGTTACGAAATTTCAATCTTTTCCGCCTTGAGTCTACATATGAAATTCGAGAAGATATTCAGGAGGCTGTTCCACATCTGCTTGCTTACATTAATAAAGAAGGTGATACAGCCTTCCGGGGTTGGTCAAGAATGGCTGTGCCAGTTAGGGAATTTAAAATCACTGAGGTTAAACAACCTAATATTGGGGAAGTCAAGCCTTCATCTGTAACTGCAGAAGTTTCCTTTAGCATCTCTAGTTACAGGGCTCATATAAGATCAGAGTGGGATTCCATAAAGGAGCATGATGTCTTATTTTTGCTATCCATACGACCTTCTTTCGAACCTCTCAGTCAGGAAGAGGCTGCCAAGTGTACTGTTCTGGAGAGGCTAGGGCTTCAGTATGTTCGTGGATGTGAAGTTATTGAGGTTCGTGATGAAGAAGGTGTTCTTATGAATGATTTTACTGGAAGTATCAAAAGGGATGAGTGGAAACCTCCAAAAGGTGATCTCCGGACAATTGTTGTTGCCCTAGATACAGCACAATATCACATGGATGTTACTGATGCTAGTGACAGAGGAGCAATGGATGTGTATGGATCATTTAACATCTTAATGAGAAGGAAACCTAAAGAAAATAATTTCAAAGCAATATTAGAGTCCATTCGAGATCTAATGAATGAAACTTGCATAGTTCCGGATTGGCTGCATAATATATTTTTGGGTTATGGAAATCCATCGGCTGCACAGTGGACAAATATGCCTGATCTTCTAGAAGTTGTTGATTTCAAAGATACTTTTCTAAATGCAGATCATCTCAGAGAGAGCTTTCCTTATTTTAAGGTTTGCTTGTAGTTTTATTTCAAGGTTTTTCATGGACAGTTTGTTATGTTGATGTCCTAATAACAACCTTAGTTTCTATTTAGGTCTGTTTTGTTAAAGCGGATCATCAAGAAGATTTGGATCCACTTCCTCCTTTCCGTATAACACTTCCCAAAGCAATGAAAAACAGTACGCATGCTCTTTCAGGCGATCTGAAATCAAAGATAATATCCCCTATTCACAATTCCGAGGAGAAAATTATTGTAGAGGCATATATTCCTCCTGACCCAGGACCTTATCCTCAGGATCAACCAAAACGAAACTCAGTTAGATTTACACCAACTCAGGTAGTCTTTTCTTCTATTTGCTCGGTGATACTCTTTATCTATCTTTAATTTTCCCAATGCAAATTAGATTTTTCCTTAATAAATCTCATTTGACATTACTGTTACTATCGTTTGAGTACTTGTCAGGTTTAGGCCTCAGATGTTTAACTTGGTAGAGATTGTATTGTACTGTGCTTGACACATTTTATTTAATTACCTATAAATCAAGCAATATTTAATTTAAAACTTTCGAGTATAATAGGAGTTTGTTTCTATCATTACTGATATAAGGAATGCATCTTAGTATGCATGTTTTATTTAAATAATTTGAAATTGCTGGTTGATTGTAAGCAAAATAGATGCGGTGTAAAGAGATAGTGTTTGTGGTATAAACATCATAAGCTACAGTGCTGCACAAGTCCCCAAGTCTTCTTTGTATTCCATTTATGGAATCTCGTTACAGTTCTAATGGGATTTCATGAGCTGCCGTGCTGTCATGGAACTTGGCGTGTATTTCCATGTTAGTGCTTTGTGCGGTTGGAAAATTTTCCCTATGGAGTGCTGAAGAAATTAATGATGATGTTTCATGCTGCTGGCGGGAAGTTACGTAGGGCATATGCTTGAAGAGATTTTGATTGGTATTCTTAAATTTTATATTTATTTCTATGAAGCAGAACCTAAATTTTGGTGAAGAGCAAAATCCAAAGTGTGTTTTTCGGATCCTTATTTCTAATGATTGAATTAGCAATCTCAACAAGACAGCAGCAAGCCTGCATCATCTTTTAGTGCTTTCTTACTTGCCATGTCTCGTTTTTATCCCATTTTCTAGTATTATTTTCTTACAAGTTGACACTGTTAGACCGGTCCAGGCGGGACCGGTTCACGGGCGAAATCGCCAAAATAGCGGAGAAAGCTTCCGCCTGGGCGGAAGCCGCGCGAGACGCGAGCCTTGCGGGACGATTTCGGGAAGGAAACTTGAGGGAGTTTAGGAGAGAAATTGATTGCAGGGACTGTTTAGGGAATTCCTTTTGAATTGTATGCATTAAATAGTTGATTTTGCTAGGGTTTGAGTATCTTGAATTTGGCTGAAATTTGAGATCTCTTAGATTTAGGTTTTCTTTGGGCTCTAGCGGCGTCTAGAAATTTGGGAGAGATCGATCCTCCTCTCGAATTGAGGATCAATTGTATCTTACTATTTTATTCATCATCTAGTGGAATACAAGTTGTACTTTGAGTTTTCCTATAGTTTTCCTCTAATTCCCCATTGTTTTTGGCTGTTTTACTGCTGTGAACAGCCGTTTTCGTGATTTGGTACTTAATTTTGGCTAGGTTTGCTTGTGAATACAAGTACTTCCTATCAGATACATCTTGGAAATATCAATATGGTATATCAATATTTAATTGAGGAAATTGGGTCAGGATTTCTACCAAAATTTTGAAGAGGATGAATTGAAGTTTTTAGATTTGCTTTTGAGATGGGTGCAATGCAATAAACTCTTATGTTACACTTTTTTCAAAACAAATTTAAGAATTTTAAAACCCATCATGACTAAACTGATCAAGTTATCCTCACCCAATTTTTTCCCTCAAAATTCTCATCCAGTAATCAAGCGGTAAAAAAAGGAAAAAGAAAAAAAAAGAAGCTTTGCTGGTTGGTTTTTGACTTTATCTAAGTTTTGGATAATAAAGATGTTACTGATGGTGAAGTTGAGTTACAAATGAGAAAAATAAGATGCAGATAAGCTTAAAAATGACATGATAAGAAATGTTAATCTTAAATGGATGATGGAAGTAGCATCTATTGACGATAGATGATAAGAAATAAATTGGGATGGTTTTGGTATATACGTTAGAGGGAAGAAGAAGATGTATTGATAAGAATACTAGGTAGAATTTTGGTTGGAAGAATTTGGAAGGGTTGTAGCAAATGTAATATGGCTAAAAGTTGCTTAAAAGAATTTGTAGGAATAGAATTAGGACTTCACATAGCACTTATTAGAAATGAATGAAAAATAAGGTATAAAATGCCCCAAATAGTAAGTCCAATGTTAATGAGATGTTAATTAATTGTTGTTTTAATGGACAACTGAAGAAATTGTTTAGAGGGAAATTCAAATGCTATTCTATTCTATTCCTTAGAATCATTACATATATATACATTCTAGGAGAATAAACAGAAAAAGTAAAGACATTTAATCTAATTAATTATAATAAAAAGAAGAAGAAAAATATTTAATATAATTAATTATAATAATCATATTCTACAGATCTCCAATTGCATCCCCCGGATTGCTGCCCACGGATCTGCAACTGCAGACCTCAAATTGCTTTTGTGGCCTCCACTCGGATGTGTGATTCAACACTCCCCCTCAAGTTGGGTTGTACAATCCTAACTTGCAAACAAACTCATCAAGTAGAGAGCCTGATAGTGCCTATGTTAGAACATCGTCAAGTTGTTCATGAGTTGAGGTATATACTACAATTTTTTAGTTCTCTATTTTCTCAGATATAAAGTGTTTATCAATAGTAACATGTTTTGTTATTTCATGATGTACTAGATCCTTGGCTATACTGATCGCAACGTGATTGTAACATTTCAACTTTATCATGCCTTCAATCTTGATTCCCAGTTAAATCAATATTGTCTGATCCAAATAAATTCACAAATAGTAACTGCTAATGCTTTCAATTCAGATTTTATATTGTTTTTGGAAACAACAAATTGTTTCTTGCTCCTTCATGTAGGTTACCCCACACAAATGAACAATATCCTATGGTCGATCGACTGTCAACCTGGCTTCCTGCCCAATCTGCATCAAAATAAATGATCAATTTTAAATCTTCATTTTCTTGAATAATAGCCCTTTCCATGAGTGTTCTTGAGATATCTCAAGATTTGATATCCTTAACCTTCTCTCCCACCAATTTATTTTCATGAATGCATAGAATATTTATCTTCTTATGAATTAATATCAATTAATTCCATTAATTTGCATGTAAGGGAACCTGTATTCCACGATCCTAACCTAATTTTAGTTTCATGGACTAGCTTCTTTGTCCACATCCGTTCATGATGTGATAACCCTTGCGTATTTAACACTGCATCCTGACACCGTTGCAGCGACCCTTGCACACTTCTCATTGTATTCAGGCCATACAATTCCTCGCTTCCAGTGAACGCCCTAGCATTAACACAATATACAAAGGATTCATGTCATGATTTTTCGACAAGTTTTACTCTGACTGTCGACTACCTAACTCAGCTTTCTACTCTTCTCATCCAACTAATAAATTCAAAATAATTTTTTACAAAGTTAAGCCCCTAGGATCTAGTGTCAGAAAATTAAAAGCTGGGCTAATTACAACTCACTAACTGCCATAATCTAGGAATCATCAGATTATCTGTTCAAGTCTAGCTAGCAAAAGTTCATGCACAACAGGAGATGATATCGCAAAGTTTTTTTTACAATGTTTTGTAAATAAAGAAGAGAAATAAATAACTAGCTTTGCAGTGATTACATTGAATTTTTTTCATATGCCAAACATAAGGGATAGAATACCAAAGGAATAGCTTTAACGATCAAGTTTTGCAAGGAAAAGAAATGATAAGAAGTGGCATTAAAGATGCTGCTTGAGAAGATGTAGGAAGACCAGATGTGTGCAGTAGACTCCATTATGAGGTGGGTGTTGAATCCAAAAGCAGCAGTCCCTTACTTGCAGGAGAAGAACTTGAAGAGATAAAGATTGGTTAGTGGAAAATAGCATTTTTTGTAGGAATTCAAGGTGGTATTTTCTTTTGTTTTTCTTTTCATATGTATATACTGGCTGCCATGAATAATATTATTTTTTGTGTGAAGTGTAAATACCCAATCTTGGAAAGCTAATAAAAACATCTATGGTGACCCATTCGAGTTGTTTAATCCCAGCCCTAATGATAATTTAATGATTATAAATTGACAAGGATACCCTTCTGATTAAGGGCAAATGAAAATCAAAACATAATAATAAATCTAACTCTCAAAATGGGTTCTACAGAAGCACAATATTCCGACATCCAGTAATCCTGTTATGACCGAATGAAGACTCATCACATCAAATGTAATATGTTTCTAGATAAAATAAAATTATATTTATTCGTTTTAAATTTTGCGTTTTGATCTTCTTGCTGTTTATTCTTCTTATGATGCTGTACATGATTATGCTCAGACATGTACTTAAGGACTTGTGTTGGGTGTAATGCATGTCTTCATGTGGTTGGGATTGTATCGAGCAGCTAAATTGATGATTTTGATAATCTTTATGTTATATTTTATGTTTTTTATTAAGTTCCCTACCATAATTGCCTTAAATATTATTGGACTGTTTAAAAGTACTTGAACTTATATGCTTAGCTATTGTATAGATTCTCTCGTACTCATTAGTATCTTTCAATGAACCCCTACTTGCCCTTTTTTTCAGGTTGGTGCAATTATTTCAGGAATCCAGCCTGGGTTGACCATGGTTGTTGGTCCACCCGGTACTGGTAAAACAGATACGGCGGTGCAGATTTTGAATGTTCTATATCATAATTGCCCTTCACAGAGAACACTAATCATCACACATTCTAATCAGGCTCTAAACGACCTTTTTGAGAAGATAATGGAGGTAACGTCTTTATTTTGAATCTTGTTTTTTGATGAAAGACTTTTTTAATTTGGTACTGCTGTTCAAACTAGGAGGTTAACACCTCTGATGCTTAATATTTGTTGCTGAATAAGCAAAATCAAAGCAATTTTTCTTTTAAACCTGTAATGCTGCTCATCCGATTCTTGCACTGATTTCATTTATAGATAATAAGAGAATTGGTGCAAAATGCACAGATTCATGCTCTTTGCTACTGTGATCATTGCTGTGCTTTCATTCTGGAAACTCCTTCGGATTGCATAGGGCTGTATTATACTAAAATGAATTTTGGTTCATTGCCTCATTGCTGTGAAATAATTTGCTAGGTTTCTGTCTGAGTTACAATCAGGCTGAGTTTCATTTACCTATCATGTTAGCATTCATATGCGTTCATACGAGGTCTCCAAATGGTCTTCTTGCATTTATTGAGTTTTAACTGGTTATTTCTTGTTCTACCAGTTCTGTCCAGCCCCATCTCTGCTTTTCTGCTTGCCCTCCTCTGCACGTCTAAATTTGCATGACTTTCTTTTGTGTATTATTGTTCAATATCTCATGAATCATTTTGAAATATATTGGTTCTGTTGGTTCATCTGTTCTCCAAGTTAGCAGTAAACATATCAACCAACGTTTATCTTTTACATATGAATATTTGTTGCACGTATGGGTATCCCATGCTATGATTTGCGTCATCCCTTTGCATCTTCTAAACTTCCGGTGCATTGACACTTCATTTTTCTTATTTTCAGCGGGATGTACCGGCAAGGTATCTGCTTCGATTAGGTCAGGGCGAACAGGAGCTAGCAACTGATCTGGACTTCAGTCGACAAGGCCGCGTGAATGCGATGCTTGTACGGCGACTAGAATTGCTTAATGAAGTAGAAAGACTGGCTAGGTCTCTTAAGCTACCCGAAGATGTCGGCTACACTTGTGAAACTGCTGGATACTTTTGGTTGCTCCATGTTTATTCAAGGTGGGAGCAGTTTTTAGATGCTTGTACAAAAAATAAAAACAAACCCACATTTGTCAAAGACCGTTTCCCATTCCATGATTTCTTCTCCAACACTCCTCAGCCTGTTTTCAGTGGCGAATCCTTTGAGAAAGACATGCGAGCAGCGAAGGGTTGTTTCCGTCACCTTTCTACAATGTTTCAGGAGCTGGAAGAATGCAGGGCATTTGAACTACTCAAATCAACAGCTGATCGTGCAAATTATCTCATGACTAAACAAGCTAAAATTGTTGCCATGACCTGCACTCACGCAGCATTGAAGAGGAAAGATTTTCTTCAGGTGGGATTCAAGTATGACAACTTATTAATGGAGGAAAGTGCACAGATACTGGAGATAGAGACATTTATACCAATGTTGCTTCAAAGACAGGAAGATGGATATGCTCGATTGAAGCGCTGCATATTGATCGGCGATCATCATCAGTTGCCTCCAGTTGTAAAAAATATGGCTTTTCAAAAGTATAGCCATATGGATCAGAGTCTTTTCACCAGGTTTGTTCGGTTGGGCATTCCCTATATAGAGCTTAATGCCCAGGGTAGGGCTCGATCAAGTCTGGCCAAACTTTACAACTGGAGGTACAGAGATTTAGGTGATCTTCCTTTTGTTCGCGAGGATCCTATTTTTAACAAAGCCAATTCTGGATTCTCTTATGATTATCAGCTTATAGATGTGCCTGATTACCTTGGCAAAGGTGAAACTGCTCCTTCTCCATGGTTCTACCAGAATGAAGGAGAGGCAGAGTACCTTGTTAGTGTTTACATGTACATGCGTTTACTAGGATACCCGGCAAGTAAGATTTCTATATTAACAACTTACAATGGCCAAAAGCTTTTGATCCGTGATGTCATCAGAAGAAGATGCAACAGTTGTGGGATTGGTCCGCCTAGCAAGGCAATTTTTCTGTCACCTTCATGTCTTCATTCATTTTGAGTTAAGGGGTGCAAACAAGTCGAGTCGAGCTCCAGCCAAGGGCTGTTCGAGTCGATCTCGATTGCCAAATACCGAGCTCGAGCTCAAAATATGAGCTCAAGCTCGACTCGTCTCACGAAACGAGTCAAGTCGAGCGGCTCGTCAAGCTCCTACTCTCGTGGCGAATCCCACTCCCGCTTGCGCTCTCGCGGCGAAGCCCGCACATGCTCCCGCTCTCGCAGCAAAGCTGCTGCTGCAACCCGCTCTTGCGGTGAAGTTTGCTCCCGCTCTCATGTTCGAGCGAGCTACTCGACGAGCTATCGAGTCGAGCAGCCGTGTGTTCAGGCTTGAGCTCGATTAGCCGTCAAGCTCGATAGCTCGACTCTTCGAGCCCGAGCCGGCTTGACTCGGTTGCACCCCTATTTTGAGTTCATTATATTAATGTTTTGAACTAGTTAAATTTTCCATTATATTTTGCTAAACTGCAATGTCTTAACACAGGTTGCTACTGTTGATAAATTTCAAGGTCAGCAAAATGATTTTATCTTGCTTTCTCTTGTCCGGACTCGTTTTGTGGGCCATTTGCGAGATGTGAGAAGACTGGTCGTTGCTATGTCTCGAGCTCGGTTGGGGCTTTACGTGTTCTGTCGACGCGCTTTGTTCGAACAATGTTATGAACTTCAACCTACCGTTCAGCTACTTCTCCAGAGACCAGACCATCTTGCCTTGAATCTGGATGAAGCCACCCCTTTTACAGAACGCCATGTTGGAGAAACTGGGAGAATTCACTTTGTAAGTGGCATTCAGGAGATGGGCGGCTTGGTTAATTTCAAGATGCAACAACTCTACCAGGTATTTCTGATGTGAAATTATCAGGAGTTATCACGAAATTAAAAATAGCAATTGTTTAAAACTTCCCAATATAAAATTATTGTTTACAACAAAGAAATATTTTAGAAATTCGTAATTTTCAACTTGCTTAGGCAAAGAAATACACTTTAGATTAACCAAGACAATTCGATCAAACTTCAAAGACAAGAGTAACTATTGTGAGCGCATAACAAAATCCACAATTTAATAATGAGAGGTTCACGTTGAGGATCTTCTCACTCATTCACTCGTGGTGGGGTTAGTGAAAGAAGATACTCCACACTAGAAAAAAGATCACCACTTGGAGATCTTCATTGATGGAAAGGTAGCCGACGACGGATGGATTGGTGGACATCACACAATCGACCACGATCCGATTGGGAGGTGTTCCTCAATTGACGGTACCAACGTGAAGATGATGCGGTCAATGTAGCCTTCCACGGAGTCGTCGACGTCCAAGTTAAAATCGAAGAATGTTCGTTTTTCCTTGGTTATCATATACGAACCCGTGATCAACGTCGGGATCTGCCATGCACTAGTGGGCCGTTGGAAGAGAGATGCTTGAATTCCTTTCTTGCAAGAGAGCTCGTGAGATTTGGGGAATTCCAAGAGGGTGGACAAACAAGGGGGACGGTCAAGTGTGGAGGGAAGAGAGCGGCCGACGGCTTGAGGTTGGGTTGGGCGATGGGATGGCTAGGATTAGGAGAATTCGGGTTAATAAATCCTCCTTAAGTTAATTATCATGGAGGGTAGTCAAATTAAGAGAATTAATTAGGGTGGAGGGAAAGGATTATAATTCAAATTTTGAATTCAAAATTGGGGCAAGGGGAGGGCCGACGGCATAGAGAGAAAAGGGGAGAGATTGGGAAGGGTTTAATAGTTTCCTAATACACTACTATTAATTAGGAATGAAATTGAAATAACCAATCTAATTCAAAATCAAATTAGATTCCAATATTCAAACTTTCCTAATTTAGCTTCCTTAATTTAGGAAAGTATTTGAATTTCAAAATTTTTTAAATCTTTCCCAAACCAATTAGGCTATTTTGGGTTGGTGTTAATGATGATTGATTTCATCATCAATGGGAAATAGGAAGAGGGATGGCTGGCAGTGGGGTTAGGGGCTGGCTAGGTCGATGGTTTGGGTGTGTAGGTGGGGTGGCCGACGGCGTGTGGGTGGGGTGAGGGGCGGCTGGTGGCTTAGAGGGGGAGATTGGGGGAAGAGGCCGGCCAGTGGGGACGTGGGTTGGATTGGCCGGCGGTGGTGGGAGGGAGGACAAGTTGGCCGATGATAGGAAAAGGAAAACGAAGAACCATGAGTCCTGGAATCCACCGACGGCTGACAAATGTTGCAAGGCCCTCTCCTAGGGTTTCTCCTCTCAAGAACTCACAAAGAGATCAAACAAAAAAAATCTAAAACTTCGGGGAGATTGGGGGAAGAGGCCGGCCAGTGGGGACGTGGGTTGGATTGGCCGGCGGTGGTGGGAGGGAGGACAAGTTGGCCGATGATAGGAAAAGGAAAACGAAGAACCATGAGTCCTGGAATCCACCGACGGCTGACGAGTGTTGCAAGGCCCTCTCCTAGGGTATCTCCTCTCAAGAACTCACAAAGAGATCAAACAAAAAAATCTAAAACTTCATTTTATAATAATCATCATCCTTTTGCAATAGAAGATGCCACAATATATAGTCCTAGAAAATAAAACAACAATGACTTAAATACCCCTTGGACTACAACTCAAACAATCTCAAAAGAAAGAGTACAAACGTAACTAACATATAAATAAACTACAATACAAAAATGCATCAAAAATAAAGACTGTGAATCGTAGCCATCGATCTACAATTCCTACGCTGATAGACTCATCGAAATCGCCTGGCGATGTCCTCATCAATATCTTAATAAACCCTTTCTTCCAGCCCCGAGCCAACATGTTAAACATCTATTTAGTGCCAAAGTGCGCAATTAGTGAATGATTTGACTTGATTATCTTATTCCTTGTACAGGTACAGGTTATGGGAGACCAGTATGCCGCATACCAGAAGCCCATTTCCCAGCCAAATGGAGCTCTAAAATCGTCTTCTCTGGAAGCAGTTGAGAACTCGGTCAGAAATGAGGATACTGATATTGACAGCGGTGATCAAGAACGCGATTCCCATCCAAACGGAGTTCTAAAATCCTCTTCTCAGAACGCAGTCGGGGACTCGGAGAAAGTTGAGAACCTTTCTAGTGGTGACGATGGAAATATGCTACAGGAAGATGGATTAGCAGAAGATAAGATGGAGGAATGATCGGAGAATTTCTCATTTGCAAATTTTGATCCTTCAGCAGAGGCTTCTTCTGTGGTGAATAATATAATGCTTGTTGTATCCCATAAAACTATGTTTCATGGGACTGAGTAATAGCTACAAGGCCACATCAATTAAATTGAAGCCAAAAATATATTTCAGCTGGGAAGATGAAGGTAAGTTTTTAATTTCTAGGGTAATTTGTTATGGGTGTATGTGCTTTAGGCATTTTCTACAGATTTTGTTGTACAGCAATGATAAGCGAACCATTTATGAAGGTGATAAATCTGCTAACACGAAAACATAATAATGTTCACATAATAAATATGAGATTAATCAAACAAGTATTTATTGAATAACCCATTGAGATTAATCAAGCAAGTATTTATTAAAGCTTAAAGCTTTAAGTCCAGAATGACACAGCAATTCAATGTTAAAGAACTATCACGTAATTATTTAAAACATAGAATTGCACATTGCTGACAAAACTAAACAGTTAAGACAATTCAATGAGGCCATGATTTTATTATGCTGTAAAATAAATAGTTAATTATTATATACAAGATGATGGGGAATTAATTTTATTGAAGCGGATTCTTTACACCTGAGAAGAAGCCCTTACGAAATCATCCCCTTTCAATAAGAAACATCTCTAAATACGATACACTGAAATGCTTTAAAAAGCATTTTCAAAGTTTTAACTGAAAGGGAATTTTTACATTTAGAAAACAACTTCGATATCATTTGGTCTCTGATGTATTAGTTAAGGAATAGAAAATGAATTTAAAAGGAATGTAGAACTGCATTAAAAAAAAGAAGACTAATGATTTATAGTTTCTTCAGCAAAATCCTAAACAATTACTCTCAAGGTTAGATGCTTTACCAGAATAGCAATCATTTAAAAAGCTGAATGCGGGAAATTATTCTGAGATCAGGTGATCCGGAGATAAATCAGAATGCGACACATCACCCGGTATATAGTGATACCGACCATCGATATTGCGCAAAAAAATAATGTGACTCGTTCTGATTTGTCTGCGGACACCGTCTAGTGTCCGCATAGAATAATTTTTCCAAATTCTGAACGGAAAAATAGATGTTCATTTTGAAAGGAAACAAAAAAATCAGCTGAAAAGGATACAAGCTGCTCTCCATGATTCTGAGACGCCATAACCATCTTCGGACAGAAGCCAATAGTCGGACTGCAATTAATAGAAAATATTAGTTAATGAAATGCTTTTATGTGAACCAAAATGCTTAATAGAATGTCCTTACAACATCTTCACATGGCGTGATTTTCACTATGCCGCCTATAGAATCCCTTGAAATGTTAGCATCAGATGAATTTTTATTAGCTTCGGTTCGTTCTTGATCTCCTGGGCGAGGGGCCATCATACAGCTTATATTCGGGCAGCTACTTTGAACAGATAAATCCATTGCTGCGAAGTGTTGGTCCAAATTTGAAGGCTCAAATCTCTCTTCGTGATTGCTGTTGGTAACATAAAGAAGCTTTATGATAACGAACAGTTTAAGCATAATATAAAAACGGAGAGTATGAGCTTGTAATGTGGAACTTCAAGCCGATTTTGAGCCCGACCTAAACCAAAATCTTTTAACGAGTCATGCCTATACAGAATCTATCAAGCCAAACTTCGCTCCCCACAACCAATAAACCACAAAAATTTTGCAAAATAATGATTAATATATATATATATATATTAATTATTTTTTATTGTGCACTATATTTAAATAGGGGCAATATGTGTCATGGCTCTACGAGGATCTTTGCGCTGTGGTGTGCCATTAGCCACCAACAAATATGATTTTACCTATTGAGATCTTTCAATGAAGAGTTCTCTACTATAGCGGGGGAGTACAAAAAAATGTTTAAAAGAGAGAAGGATACCGGTTTTAAAGAAAATACTTTGAATATTTTTGCAATTTATTGCACTTGTAAGAAAATACCTTAGTAGGTAGCAATCAATAGGACCCATGGAGCTCCTCAGAAGCATTTGATACTGCCTTTGTGTAAACTCAAGACCCTACAGCAGTGAAATTTTCTGTATCATGTTTTCAATTCTTTTTTCTTTTATTTCCAACAAAATTTGTCGTTTACCTCATCAGGATTTGGAACTTCAAGACTTGTTCCATGTGGAGCTTTAACAGCGATAAGTGTAGAATTCTGCCATAAAGAAGAAAATACTTAAGCCAACGATAGGGATAACAAAAAATTAAAGAGGCAAAGAAGCCAAACCTGGAAACAAGGGATGGAACTAATATCTTCTTTTGTTAGGTAGAGCCATCTAAATAATTAACGAGTATTGTTGTTAGTAGTGAGCAGATCTAACATAAGTAAAATACCATGAAAGGGGAGAGAAAGTGAGACTACTTTTGATTGCTTTCATCCTCACTGAGGGATAATAAATTCTCTTGCATGTTACTGCAAATGTTTTGAAAAAAAGTTATTAATGGAGATGTCCCAAAAAAAAATGAACCTCAACTCAGATCAGTTTATCTGGGAACTCGCCATATCATAGCATCAAGCCTGCAATCCTCACTTTCCAGACTTTGAATCTCAGCCTGCACAACTTTTGCAGTGAGAAATAAACTTAACTATTCAATTGGAGAGTAAAAATCAGATTACTGAAACATCTGATAAGCACAAATTATATAATAACAAAACTATCTGGTTTATTAATAACACCAAATGAAAAATTAATTGCAAGCAAATAACACTCTAAAAAAGATTATTCCATATGCAATCGCAGTAATTCTGCAAGGGAGAATTCTACTTGAAAGGAAAACTCTGTAAATATATCTCTACGCAATTATTTACCCATCAACTTTTATTATAAATATAGGTCTTTTATAAATTATCGGAAATAAGATAACATTAGATTTTAATTATGATTGTTTCAATAATCAATCAAAATTTTGATAATTTCTTTAATATTCAAAATATAAAAAAAAGGTAAAGCAAATATCCAAAATATTAACATTTTGATCAATATTTTTTTAAGTATAAACAAAAACATTTATAAAATATTTTTAATGGATATGCTTGATTTCAACAATTAAAATTATTTAGCCTTCTAAAACATCGATTTAGAAATTAGCTTAAGAATTTTTTTTAATTTTAAAAAACATTTAAAATTTTCAAGAAGTAAGAATAGGAGATAAAAATGAAATGAATAATCAATTCTTAATTTTATAATAGTATGTGATTTCGCAATAGCGAACATTTTATTTAAGGCCTGCTAATCAACGCTTAAGCAGGCATCAAACTACGTAAGCAAAGGTGGGTATTATCATTTTGCATGCTTTGCCATATGCCAAATTATCTTCAGACCTTTTGGATATTAAATAAAGAAGACTTTCAAGACTTATCTTAATTTGAACAATATCTTAGCAAAACATGCATTAATTTGAATAAGGTAAAAAAAAAATCATCAAGAGTATAATCACAATTACTTCATAAAAAATAAATTGTCACAAAAATCATAATGATTTGTTAGCTAGAACAAAAGCTACAAGCTTAAACCAGCCTAGTAGTTTTCTAAACTTTCCCAGCCCCAGCGCACCTTAACGTTTTCATCTACGAATGGTTTAAACCCACTTAAAGACTTAGTCTAGCGTAAACTTCTTCAGCTTAACTTAAGCAAGAACCAAACATGCCCCATGAAAAAATAAGAATACTTGATTACTTATTAAAGAGAAGTCAACTAATCACAAAAATTTGAAGAAAAATTAACTTTAAGAAAGAGGCACAAAGGTGAGGTTCATATGAGATATATATTACAATTTCCAGAGTTATGAGCGTACTAAAGCAAATTAATTAAAAAAATTTCAATGAAGTTCTGAAAACTAAGTGCATAAAACATGATTAGAGAAGAACTATTTGGTACCAACATTCATGAATAAAGAATATGCTCAAAATTGGGCTAAATATAGAGACTTATGAGTCATACAATAAATCTATAGGATAAATTAATGGAATATAACCTTTGAAAAATTAAATTAATTAAAAAAAACGATTTAATTTCTTGCTAGAAAGAACGCTCATAGAAGCAATTTCTATGTTAATACAATTAAGCATTTTCAATTTTTTATTGATCTTGTGAAGGCTAAAATCCAATAACATAATAATTGATTTGGCAGGTTTTAAAACCAAAAAATTTCAGTCGAAGATAACTTAGTATTATTAAAAGCATGTACGATGGAGAATTGACTAATATTAAAAATGGTTATGGAGTGACCAAGGGATTTTCAATTATCATAGATTTACATCAAGGATTAGAATTAAGTATATTTTTAATTGTTATGGAGATGCTTATGATAAATATTTAAAGTGAGGTGCCTTGGTATACGCTTTTTCTGAATTAAGAAAATGCTTAGAAGACAAAGGTCGTACAATTAGTAGAACAAAAACTTCAGTCTAATGATATATAATTTTAATGGATGTGATGTTAAAAATTATCATTTAATATTATTAAAAAATAAGGCGATAAATGTTATATAAGTTTAAATATCTTGAATTTATTATAAAGAATAATGGAGATATAAATAAAAATATAACTTCTAAACTGAATGTTAGTTTATTAAAATGAAGAAGTACCTCAAGAATTTTGTGTGGAAAGAGAATAATGAAAACTCCATAAAACTGCAATTAAGTTAGTGATGCTGTAAAGATTCAAATATTGGCTGTAAAAAAAAATCAATGATACAATAAATTGAGTGCGACTAAATAATAATGTTAAAATGAATGTGTTAAAACTAAGAAGGATAAATTAATGAAACATTATATTACCAAAAATATTGAAATGGCATCTACTGAGATAATAAGATAACCAATAATAAATTTAAGTAATTTTCTCATTAGACAAATAGATAAAACTAGCATTAGAGGATTAGGCTTTAGGCATCATACAACACTCAATAGGGATGAATGAAAAATGAGAATTCAATAAGCCAACCCAAAATAATACATACATGGCATAGTTAGTAAGGCTTTAGGCATCATACAACACTCATCAAATAAGCAGTAATCACAAATTGCATCTGCATTACAGTGAACTAATGAAGCATGCCAGGAGGGTGAAAAGAATTGATTAAAAAAGGGAATTAAATATTTTGCTAGAGCATTTACCTTCAAGCCAGCAATTTCTGCCCCCACCTCCATTGGCCTTGACATGTCGAACCCCCTTTAAATAGAATAAATAAATAATATGCTGTTTAAATTTCAAATAAACGATTAGGGAAATATTTCTCAATTACTTCCAATGTATCCGATTCTTTAACTGCTTTACGATCAACCCCACTCCTTCAAGAACATTGGTTATGTCATAGATTCTCCTCTTTTGTACCTGCCAAGCATTTACAAAATAATACACAAACAATGAGCATCAAACAGACGAACTGAACCAAAATGGAACTTCCAAATTGTCTAAATACTATCCATAAAATGTAAAAGGACTGTACATCCAAAATTTCTGCTGCTTTATTCAAATCAAGAGTCCCGTCCTCAGCTTGCTGGAGCAAATTTATGAATTTTTTTGTCAAGAGGCCTGTCAAGGAATAGTTAATATCAGAAAAAATACTAAGTAAAATCAACAAAAAATTATGCAAATTGCAGCACAAGTGTCCAATTCGGATCAACTAACCAAGAGAACTGTCATAACGGCAGGTGCTTAAAGCACTCACAGGGTAGCCTGAAAAAACATGAGACCGTCAATGATTATTGAAAACCTCTTACAAGCCAAAATTGAACTATTAAATAACTTCAAACATATTAATATTTGCAAAATTTCATGACCCATAAAATAGCAGAAGCTATAAGTTTCGATAAGGTTACCATCACAAGGTCCAGGATCATACTGCACGGATTTTTTATTTCTTGAAGACTTTGGGGTTCTTTGGCGCTTAACACCAGTTAATGATGGTGATAAATGATTGTTAAATGATTCCTTCTGCTCTTTTCCAACAACTAACTGACGACTCCGACCAGCATGATCAATTGTTCCATTTACTGTTTTTGACTGCAAGAAGAACTCTATACTTATAAATTGAAAAAAAAAAGACTGGAACGGTATTCTTTATACATAAATTGACAGAATTAAATGCACAACAAGGAATACAGATAATTTTGAAAATACTAAAACAAACAGAAACTTATCAATGAATGAACTCATTCATCAGCCCTGTTCAATTTCATAATAGTTAATAGCTTCTGACAATCACAGTATGGGCAACGAACAGATGAAACAAATCAAATTAGAACTTAATCATAAGATACAAGGTTCTATTCTAGGCAGAAAACGAGTAGGGCTGTGAATTTGACCTGAAAATCGGTTCTATTTTTTAGTCAGATCAAAGTCAATGAGCAAGTTAACAAGCCAAGCACAGCAAATCTATTGACATTAGAGGCCAGTGTTATTAAAGGTGCTAGGCACCATCAAAACAACCATTATGGCTTAATGCCCGAAGCACTAAACGTCAGCCTATGCACTCTCTTAAACAAAGCCAAACATTTAAAAATTTTATTTATTTTAATTATTAGGAATTCTTTTTTGCAAATAAATTGTGATAACCATCACCAGGGGCGGAGCCAGGATTTTTTTGATGTGGGGGCACAACTCATTGAAGTAAAAAAAAATCCTAAAACTTTTTCATCCGGTCTTGAAACCGGTATTGGCAGTTTTAATTGTTAAATCGTTAGTTTCGTTAAAAAAAGATAAAATATATGATAATATAAAAAACTTACATATTATCTATAAAATATTGGTCCATCACAATTTAAAATGTAGTAGAAAAAGAAAAAAAGACCATTTTATAACACTCTAAACCAAAATGACAAAAGCTAACAAAATATATCGTCTAAAATCAAGTGCCCGCAAACCCAAAGGTACATTCAAGTTTAAACGAGCAAGCATATAAAGGTAAGTTGCTAGCTTCCATAGCTTAAGGTTAATATAATATTTGCTATAATTTATTTCATCTTCATCACCATCTATCGCATCTTCTCTATCACTAGATTTGTAATACTCCATCTCACAATATATTTTTGTATGCATTAAAAATAATAATTGTATTATAGAGGCTAGTACTTGAGAAGCTGCTGTCTTAAACCAAGGTGCTCAACTAGAGGGCATCTTAGTGATGGCGTCCATCTAAAAGGTGTTTGTTGCACTAGATACACCTAACCAAATAGCCTAAGAAAGCACCCAACTCATCTTTGAATACTGTTGGAGGTTAATTATTCATATATAATATACACTAGTTGTGTCTTTTTAATCATGTGAAGTTAGTGGTGATTTATTTAATTAACAACTAATAAATAAGTAAATTGATAATTACTCCTGCCTTCTTTCCATAAGTGAAACAACTCTAGTTATTACTTCTTATAGATGAAATGAGTGGATATCAACAGTGCTTGTTTATAACTAACTTTAATCAACCATCGATGAAATAATCAATAGAAATTAAACATACAAAATTATAATTAAATAGATTTGAACAATAATTATAATTGATCAAAATCCATGAGGGCAGAACATGATTGAAGATTCAGATGAAGCTAGGACTGAAAAATCCAAGTTACTTCTGTTAACTTAATTAAAGAATTGTATTGCCCTCTTTTTTGCTAAAGGAGGCCTAAATTTTACCCTTTCAAAGGGCATAAATTAATGGATCATCTACCAATCACCACTAAAAGAACAAATATAGTGGGCTTGAAAGGGTAGAGTTGAGGGGGGGATCCAAAATGAGATCTTTAAATCTTGTAAGTACGAACAATGAAACACAAGCACATCTAGTAGAGAAGCCTAGGATGCTCTCACTCTTATATACTCTAAAAAATAGAACTATGAAGAAAAGAAGCATGACTCTGGTTCTTAATGTTTGATGGTCCAATTCCAAATGCTAATATTTATTTTTTAACACATGGTTTTAACAAAAAGATTGCTGGTGTTTATATAGGATACAGTCTTTAATTTCATTTTTTTTATTTAATTGTTGGTTTTTCAAGTAGTTGACCCCACATAGTGGGATAAAGGCTTGATGTTATTGTTGCTAATTTTTCAATTCCAATAAGGATTTTGATGAATTTTTCTACAAAACTAAATGATCTCAAATCTAAGCATGGTTGGTGGCATTATAACAATAAAAAATATATAAGGAAATCCTACCGCCTCATATTCATCAAAAAAATGTGTCACACTAAAAAAGCAACAATCAAAGACAAGAAATATATGTTTGCAGTATGATTTAAAAGTAGCACGTACGATAATCGCCAATAAATCCAAAAGCCCATAAAAATAAATCCATAAGTTATATTTTACGAAAGAACTAGAAATAAAGAATATAATTAAAAAATACAAAAATATTCAAATATAATATAGTAAGCCTTATGTGTTGCTGATTATCTACTCTCAACTTGTCACTTATATCTCTTTCTCTAACTATAATATTCCACTCAACAAGCTTGTTTCCTTTTTCTATGGATAAATGAACCATTGCAACCATAGCAATGAATTTCATCCACTAAGAGAAATAGAAGATAAGAAGTTCCAAAATAAGCTTGGCAAATTCATCCACAAAGTACAATGTACTTGTAACATTCTGATCCTTTAACCAAGCCTTAACACATTTCTCCACATTTTACTAGGCATGTACAAGCATAACTTGAAGGGTAAAAAGGTAAGTGTAGAATATGAATATCCCCAGTGATTGAACAATATTTATTGGTTTAGATGAAAAGCCAAGGCCTATTTTTCCTTAAGGTAAGCACTGAACTCCTTGTAATTTTTTTCCAACATTAAACTAGAGAGAGTCTATTGATGATTATTTATTAAAAGTTCTTCAAAGTATTGTAACATGCAATAATGGGGAAATTTTGTTATTATCAAGGCTAGTCAGGGAAAAATCTGTTATAGAAGTAATACAAAACATAATTCATGTTGATGATTATCTATGATGCATCGACACACCTCTTGAAGAGAGAATGTAGTGTCGGACACGGACACATGCCCGACACGGCAGACATGTGTCCGATTAAAATAATGTTTAAATTTAATCCAAACGGCTAGGACACATTTCGAACACGGTTGGAACACGTGTCGGACACGGCTGGGACACACGTGTCCTAATTTTTTATGATAAAATTATTTTAATTATAAATATATGATATCCAATGTACTATTATGAGAGAACTAGAGAAGTAAATAAATACATTCTTTATGATTTAGTTTAGAGGACAAAAAAATATTATGGGAGAGAACTAGCGAACTAGAGAAATAAATAGATACAAAGAAGAACCAACTTTCATTATATGATATCCAATGAACTATTACAAATCTTTCTCTTGATGAAACAGAGTTGGAAGCAATGATATTCAATGATGATGATATTGAAGGCCAAAAACAAACCTCTGAAGCTAATCCTAGTAGTTGAAACTTGAATGCTTGATGTTGTAGCAAGTGGTTAATTGCTTATATTTTTGTAGTTGTACTAGAAATTTTGTACTAAATATTTCTATTATAAGTTAGACAAGTTATCATGCCATTCATTTATTATTTTTTCTCAAATTTTAATATGATGTTACAATAATACTTATACACTATATTAAAAAAAATGTAATGCAGTGTCCGCGTCGTACCCGTGTCCTATATTTTCAAAAAAAGTTGTGTCCTGTGTCCGTGTCGTTTCGTGTTTGTGTCATCGTGTCCGTGTCCGTGTCCATACATCATAGATGATTATAACCTCTAAGAGAAACTAAAGCTTCAAAATTTCAAAACCTAGCATACGTATTTTGCAAGTTAACTTCAGTAAGAAAAATGAGAAAAAGAAAAGCAAGAAATGAAACCTACAAATTTTTCAAGATATATAAGGCATACTATTTGCAAGAATTTCAAATTACGTAGTATTTTTATTTGTTTTACTATTTTATTATAGGTTATAGAATCTTTTAAAATAAGACAATTTATTAAGTTTTTATTGGTTTACTTATTTATTGATTTGTAAAATCCTTGAAAATAATGCAACTTAATAGAATTGTTTCCTTTTTGTTAGTCTCCCAGTTAAGAAACAAATAACTCAATTTAAATCCCCATTAGGGCAACAAATAAAACAAGTGACTCCTCTCCGTTCAATTTAGCCCTATATTAGCTAGTCTTTCTTCCTCTCCCTACAAGGTTTCCTCTATCAATCCCTTCATCAGAAACTAGACAGCTACCCAGCACCTTTTCAGCAACTAGATAGCAGCTCAACACCCTCCGACAACCCTTCAAAAGCCAATCATCTACCATTATATTTTGTTGATCAACCACAATTAATCCAAAAATTATCTATGAAAGCAACATGGGAAGGCTATAATGCTAAGGGCAAGTTAAGCCTTCAAAATCATATATCTCTCTATTCATATTTCAAAGGCCTTAGACTCTTCAGATTTAAATCATCATGAAGTTTTGGGCCCCATAAGACTTTTTTCATAAAAGACCTAAAAACAAGAGAGAAAGTTTAACTTTTTTTAGTAGAGGAACAATGAACAAGAAACGATGTGAAAACACATGTAAATGTAATAAGACCCAATTATTGAAAGAAAAATTACAAACATATAAAAATGATGAGAAAAAAACACAATAGCTACTATACATTTTTTAGTAAGCGTTCTATTTTTTTTAGCAAAATGGCAGTTCAGTGCTGCTTTCCTTCAAAACAAGGAATAGGGACACACCAGTCTCACATTTTTTGCCCTGATGAAACACTTTTTCAAGAACTATGGTTCCAAAATTATCCATAGTTATGCCAGTATTAATGAAAATGGAAATCAGTGAAGTTAAAAATCCCTTCACAGAGACTAAACCCATCAAACTAAGAAACACAATCATCAAGAATTACCTTTAATTCGAGATTTCCTTGACATCCTAGCTCAACAAATCCATTATAAAGGTAAAAATATTGAAATTTTGTAACCAAAGCCCACCATGGTTAGAACTTTAAGAGCTTGAATGAGAGACACCAGAATAATTTACAATAGGATTAGCGTTTTTATCTAGTTGAATTGATCACTTCAACGAATTCTACTTTTTTAACTTTTTTCTGTGCTTATTTCTACTTGGCTTACTTTTCCTAACGATCTTATCCACAGATATCGAACCGGAGGCGAACCACCAAATTCAATCCCAACCAATAAATGAGGGCAGTAACAAGGCACAGAGAACCATCATCACAGATTGGACCCCTAATAGAGAGGAGGACATCCAAACCTTAGTTCACAATCAGCAAGTAATAGCAACTGTCAAAATGCAGCTCTCTTCCCACATCTTCTTGTACACCAGCTCAGAAAATCCAAACAAAACATACAAAGAACAATAATAGAACCCTTATCACACCACCAGATCACATAAGCAAGTGACAAAAAGAAATGCTGGATTGTCACGATTAGAAAATCTCAACGATCAAAATTACAAATCAACAATCTCTGCATGTATAAGTGATCAAATCACGATGTCAATGCAGAAGGTACTCACTGAGGGCTCAGGAGCGGGAACCGTCTCTTTTCCATTTCTCTTTTCATCTGAAACGGAGGCAGTTAACCCGGTCAAGACGCGGCGATCAAAGACCCCTCCAGCAGTGGATAACGATGGCGGGAAGGGGAAATGCTGTTTTGAACCAGGGTGGAGAATCTGCGAAGAACCCGGCCGCGGTGGCGGCGGCTGTGGCCGAAGATTAGCTGGACGCTCAATCGGGCAGCTCGACTCAGCAGCGCCGGCCATGCAATGAAGAGAAAGTGAAGGCGGAAGAATCGGGGAGAGGGGGTAGGGTTTTGAAGAGGAAGGGGAGGGAACGGAAGCGGAAAGAGAAGAGAGGGAAAAATTATAAGGGGATATTTTTTATATTCTAGAAGAGGCGGAGTTGCTTTATGCGCATTATTGTATGTATATTTCTAATTAATATAGACCGTCCGATTAGAAACATAGGGTGATGCCGACAAAGCTGCCTGCATAAGGGGCAGGTCCACGTCACTGCAGGGTAGCGGGAAGTGAGGGATTGGTGAGTTTCGAATGCGTGTGGGCCGATCCTTGAAAATGGGCTAGTTCGGCCCAACCAACAGGCCGTGCTCCTCCTTTCTGAAAATGGGCTGACATGATCTAAAACTCTGTTAGGGCTATTTAATTTGCTGTATTTATATATATTTCAAGAAGAATATTTGAAGTAGAATTAGCATTCAAATATAATTATTTTATTTCTATGCTAGACATATAATATTCTTTATTTTTACATTTCTAATTTTATAAAATCTTGTTTTGTTCAATATATTTCTTATTTAATGTGTTTATGATAATATTTGAATATAGAACAATAACAATAATATCAAGCCATAATCCCGCTATCTCGGGTCGGCTACGTAAATATTTTTTTCTTAATTGTGTCATCTTAAGATTCAAAAACTCTTTTAAATGTAATAAAAAATAAACATTTCTAATAACTTTTTAGTCAAGTCATTTTATATTTACTTTATCTTTTTAACATAGCCAAATCTAATACATCTACTATTCTAATTGTGTCATCATAAGGTCAACATTTTATGTGGCCAAACCTAACTAGGTCTTTGACCTCATCTTTCATGGGAGCAGGGGCGGAACCAGCCTTTCATCTTAGGGGGGGCAAAATTTTCTTTGTATAATAGACTAATATAAATAAAAAAGATGATATAATTCAAAGTGAAATCATGTATTCCATTATGATAGGAAAATTGAAAATCATTACAATTTTATCAATCTAAAGTGGGAGATCGGTGAGTTTCGAATGCGTGTGGGCCGATCCTTGAAAATGGGCTAGTTTGGCCCAATCTACAGGCCGTGGTCCTCCTTTCTGAAAATGGGCTGACATGATCTAAAACTCTGTTAGGGTTGCTGTTTTTATATATATTTCAAAAAGAATATTTGAAGTAGAATTAGCATTCAAATATAATTATTTTATTTCTACCTTATGCTAGACATATAACATTCTTTATTTTTACATTTTTAATTTTATAAAATCTTGTTTTGTTCAATATATCTCTTATTTAATGTGTTTATGATAATATTGGATATAGAACAACAGCTATAATATCAAGCCATAATCCCGCTATCTCGGGTCTGCTACGTAAATATTTTTTCTCAAATGTGTCATCTTAAGATTCAAAAACTCTTTTAAATGTAATAAAAAAATCATTTCTAATACTTTTTAGCCAAGTCTTTTTAGATTTACTTTATCTTTTTAACATAGTCAAATCTAATACATCTACTATTCTAATTGTGTCATCAGAAGGTCAACATTTTATGTGGTCAAACCTAACTAGGTCTTTGACCTCATCTTTCATGGGAGCTACTCCAACATCTTCTCGTATATACTAGTTTCGCATTTTTCTCTAAGAGTACAGTTACTCATCAACTTGAGCATCCTCATCTTTGTGACACTTAACTAATATAAGAGAAGATGAGAATTAAATATATAGGATAAGCTCAACCCTGTTCAAGATAACTCAGTCGGGATGGGGCAATAAAGTTGATGAATTCGTTAAGATTTTCAATGACTTAAAACATATGAACATTTTCACTATTAAGAATAAAATGTCATATAATCGTGGTAAGAAAAAAGTTATTTGTCAGGTCTTCATACAATTCTCATTTAAATCTAATAAAAAATATTATTTCTAATATTTTCTAACAAAGTAATTTTAAGTCTACCTCTACCTTTCTTAACATAGGTCAATTCTAATACATCTACTTTCCTAAATGAGTTATTAGAAGATCGACGTTTTATGTAGCCAAACCATCTATGGCAACTCGCTGATCTTATCTGCCATTAGAGCCACTCCAACATTTTCACGTATATACTTATTTTGCATTTTATCCCTAAGAGTAAAGTCAATCATCCACCTGAGCATCCTCATCTCTACAACTCCTAACATAAATTTATGCTTCTCTTTTAATGGCTTTCATCCTGCACTATAAAACATGACAGATCTCACTACCACTAGCTTCAACGATCCAATTTAAGTTTTATTAATAATATCCTCGTATATATTTCATCATCACTTCAAATAATAGATAAGAGATATCTAAATAATGAAAAATTTTCTAAAGAAAGCATCATCGCATATGATTGCTTTATGTATTGAAGCGTATAGAGACGTCAACATCATATTCAATCAAAATATCTTTTTTTTTGTGACATTTAGGCCATTTAAGGCAAACTCACACACACAACGCATACACATGGACTCGAACCTTGGACCTCTTAGTTGGAAGCCTAAGCTCTCAACCAATAGGCCAAGGAGAATTGTGTAATCAAAATATCAAGAAAATACTATGACACGCTTAAGGAAATTCCATATGATAATATTTATTAGTTCTTAAAAACAGGAAAGAATGGGGCAAAAGGTCACCCTTATCAAAAACTGGAATAAAGCCGTAACCATTTGTAGGCATATTGTGTCATGTACTTGACAAGTTGAGATAGAAGACATATTGTAATGTTTTGTACATTAACGTTTAATATAAAATGATTATTTTTTTTTATACTCTCTCTGATAATTTTCATAATCCAATTACTTAAACATTCAAACAAAAAAATGACTCGCTTAAAAAATAAAGGTTTCATTTGGAACGATTTTCTTATTGCTTTTTAACAATTTTTAGTAAAAAATATTTTAAATTAAAAGTTTTTGTACCAAAAAATTGTTTTAGAAAGCAGTAAAAAAATTGTCCCAAACAGCATAAGCAACATTGTGATAAAACGATAGTTCTAATAATTTTTATGAAACTCGCTGAAATTTACAACAAAGCAAGATACAAATGGTTTATTGACTCAATCAGGATTGTTGCTTACACCTATTCAAAACAAACAACCAAACAGGAGGGAAAGTTTCCTAAGTAAAATAATTGCATTGTGATATGCAATTTATACAAATTTTGATCAGAGTGTTTCCTCGACTTGATCAGCATTAAACTTGGCTTACAAAGTCAAATTATTCAACAAATTAGTAATCTAATTGAACAAAACAAATCCAATCAAATGCATCAACATGCAATTAAGCTTATCATATTATTGTTGTATTTTAAGCGATGAAGAACGTGTAAGATTTTGCTAGATTATCTCAACAAATCTCTCACATTCATTGAGGGAGTTTGCAGTGTATAGGAGTATAGTTGATTATCTTTTTTTTTTTCTCTCACTACATGAATCAAAGTGTTGGAGAGATTATTAAGTGGAGAGTACAGACATAGAGAATCGTTCAATTTTGTGACTGTGAACAGTAAAAGCATATGGATGAATAGTAAAAGTGTAGTAGTGAATTATAACTATGCTTTTACTTTTCACAGTCCCAAAACCGAACGGTTATTTATGGTCGAACTCCGCACGTAATAATCTCTCCAAAGTGTTGATGTATAAGGCTTGCTAATTTTTTGAATCTTGACAATCACAATCATGCATGGCTTCTCCTTAGTATATGTACTTATCTCTTTATAAATCTAATAATGATGAATCTATGTACAATTACTTATGTGCTTCTATTGCTTCGGCCTCTATAGGTGATCTAATGAAAGATGGCTGATACGTGATTTGATTGCAAAAAAAGATAAAGTAAATATAAGATCAATATTCAACTATATTTATTTATAAAAAATAATAAAAAAATCGTTGCCATCCAAAGAAGTTTTTATTTAACTTGGCAGGTATATTTTCAATGTTTCAAGGCTTCAACGGAACACGCATCAGCTGTAGAGCGACAACACGATAACGACACGAAGACCAGTAACATTACAAAAAAAAAAAAACCTGCAATAACGAGACGTGACATTTGTGATTTGGCACTCAGGCGCTTACTGAAGTAACCATTGGTTTGCGAATTGAGAAGATTAAAATCATTGGCGATCGGTACTTCGAATCGTGGGTCCTATTGCAGCACCTGTGGAAGAACACGTGTACAGCTAACTCGACAAGAACAAACTCTGAGCCAGCTAAAACTCGGTAATGGAATTGAATCGACGCATCAGACAATTTTGGTGATATTTTGTTCAAATTTGAAATTTTATTTATAATAAATATTAAATGCATTAAATTTATAGTAAAATAAATATACTATGCCAGTTTTTATATAGTAGTTGTGCTATAATTTTTAAATTTTAAAAAATATATCATGATTACATTTTAATCTGAATATTTACACCTGAAAACACTTAATTTTAGCTAGGCCAGCTCTCATTTTATTTTAAAAAGACCTATTTTTAGGGTTTTTTTAATCAAATAATGTGAGCAAAAATAATAGCAGAATTGATTCTATCAATATGAGTTTTTTTTTCTTAAAAGTTATTGTGTAACGTAGCATTGATGGCAGCAGAGATGAGAGTTTAATATCTTAACTTTGTATGAAGACCCAGCTTACACATTGATAAGAAAAGAATGTAAGAATTGTAAGAAAGAAACAACTGAGTTTTTAAGTGAAAATCTCAGGAAGGGAAAAATCACGGAGTCTGACCAAATTAAATTGATTTTAAAAGTGTTTCTCATTGATTTCAAATGATGTTATTCTTCGGGGAAAGGCATTAATATATAACATATGACTTGGTTGAAGTTGTAAGAGCCTCATGGCAGGGGATCCATTTGTTTATAGGTCTTTTGCCTATTATCTTTGTCATACTTCTCATAATCCAGCATAAATCTTAGTGTTAAATGTGGGAGTCAAAGTTGAAGTTGAAAGCTTTACAAGTGACAACCTTCGTTGGCATTATTGGTGATGGTAGGTGAAAAATTCAGTAAGCATTATAGTATCCAAGTGACATTGGTTAGGAGATTGTAGGTCGGTAGATTGTAAATTTGTGGATGACTGTAATCATGTGACAATGGTCAGAAGACTGTTGTTAGCATGCGTAAAAGGTTGGAGGATTATAGCCGGCGAATGACAGAGGTAGGAAGGTCCATAATCAAACAATGGTGTTTCCGAGGATTGTAATTAGCAAGAGATAGATGTTAGAGGATCGTAGTTGGAAGGTGATAGAGGTTGAAGGATTGTAGTCAATGGGCAAACGAATGCCAATAGAACCATAGCCATACGACAATGGTGCGAGGAGTGTAGTGGGGTGATAGTGGTCTAAGGATCATAGTCGCGTGATGGTGGTTTGAAAATCATATTGTTTTGCCAATGAATGCATAACGACGACTGTCGAGTGGTGGCCCGAAGGTAATGATTTGGTGGTGCATTAGGATCCTCATAGCCTCAAAACTCCCTTGAACTTCAATTTAAATGTCAAGCCCCTAATCCCCTGACTCCTCTCTATTACATATAAAGAGTGGCCTATTTATAGGTTTTTAATATTGATTTGATATTTTTCATTTCCAATAATTTTTATTTTTTTATTTTTTATTTCCCAATTATTGAAATTTATTATGCTTGAATGACTTGCTTTAGGGTATCTCCAACCGAAAAACTTATTTTCCACTTCAAAATACAGTAACGTTACTCTATTTCATACTTCAAAAAAGAAATATTATGTGCCTATTCTTTCTCATATATGTTTTTATATGTATTTTCTTCTCACAAAAAGAAATAATATGTGAATATTGCGACGTCATTATTGTTATCGTGAGTGCATTTCCACTTGCTGTTCGGGTGGACGCTCGTCAAATCTATAAACGAGCGAAATTTATTTGAAATGGCCATAACTTTTTTAAATGTAATTGTTGTAGCTATTGTGTAGAAAGTAATTAAAAAAAAATATTAATAAAAGTAGATTTTCAATATATAATTTTTTTTTAAAGAGAAAAAATAATAACCAAATACAAATGTGGTTACGGTCTTAAAAATAAAACAATAAAAAGTTATCCCAAATAAATAATTAGTCAAACATATGTAATATGTTGATTTACAATATTTAAATTAAAAGAAATAATATAATTGAACAAATTAAATTAAACGAAATAATATAATTAAACAAATTCAAAAAATACACTAAATTAAATTCTATATCATATATATGATCCAAAGGCGAAAGTGATATGATAATTGACCTCAGAAATATTTATTGAGCTCTATTGATATATTTTTTATAAAGATAATTATGAAATTGTTGTAAGAAAAATAAATTTTTTTAAAAGCTTCCGCAAAAAATAATTTCTTATTATGAAAATATTTTAAAAAATTATAATTAATATTAAAAAAAAAGAGGGGGCAACAAATTTGAATTATCTTGTTTTACCTGGTTTCGATGATTTTTTTTTTGGGGATGAAGCGCCCAATATTTTATTTTTTTATGTGACTGGATCATGCGTTGGAATCATTCTCTCATGCCTCATTGTTGTGTTGGATGGATTTTACAGTGGAGCTTTATTTGCTGTTCTTCTCAAGAAAAATTAAACTTTTTGATGCTACGGCTCTTATCAGCTTAAGAAAATAATAATAAAATCTCCGCAGACACCTCCCACGCGGCCACGTTTCCCGCCACACTGAACAGACGAGTTCGTCTTCAACCTTTATCCCATCCTGCATTTAATTTCCATTTGCTGCCTCGTCCCCTTATAAAATCCCGGCGTCCGTTCCATAACTTTAGCGCAGCAGAAATACACTCAGTTTGTTGCTGAAAGAAGAAGCTAGAAGAAGAATTCGACAATCAGGACGAAGAAGGAGATGGCTAGCGGATGGTTTTGGCGGAGGAAATCCACCCGGAAGTTAGTCGTTGACGGCACGGAGATAGAGAAGCTGGTTGAAGACAAGGAAGCCTTCAGCAGCTACGTGGAGCACAAGTTTGAGGAGCTCGATCGGGACCACGATGGTAAGCTTTCCGTGCGCGAGCTTCAACCAGTCGTCGCTGACATCGGCGCCGCTCTTGGCCTCCCAGCTGTCGGATCATCCCCGGATTCTGACCACATCTACACTGAGGTTGGTACAAGCCCTAATTCATCACTTCGCTTAAATCTCACTTTGGTCATTGCTCATTGGTTGAATGCGTTGTTGGCTAAGGTGTTGAGTGAATTTACGCATGGAAAGCAAGAGAAGGTGAGCAAGTCTGAGTTCAAAGAGGTGCTATCGGACATTTTGTTGGGTGTTGCAGCGGGGCTTAAGAGGGATCCGATTGTCATACTGAGGATTGATGGGGCGGATCTCAGAGAGTTTGTGGAGAGCCCGAGATTTGAAACAGAGGCCGTGGCCATTTTTTCTGGGGTTGAATCGTCTGGGTCTACTTTGCGCACGTGTTTGACAGCGGGATTGGGACAGATTACTGTCGAGAACGGGATGCCGCCGGCTTCTGATGCATGGGTGATTGACAGAGGGCTTGAAATTTTTTTAATGGGGGTTTTTGATCCATTAAGTGCTGCATTTTGATGACTTTTTATTTTATTTTATATTTTTAAAGGTTTCTAGCAATGTTGTGGAGCCTGCTCTGCAATCTTTCTCTATTGATGTTCTTGAAATGGCTGCTTCTCAAGAGGCGTTCTTGGATCACTTCAAAAAGCTCTTATGTGAAATCATTCAACGCCTTCAGAAACGCCCTGTTATTGTTGCACACAGCGAGAACACCTTCGATGGAAGTGGCATTAGGAGGCTGTTAGCTAACAAATTTGAGTTGGGCAAGGTCGGTTCCTTTTTGACGTGAATAGCCTATTTTTAGTTTTTTTTTTTTAATTTTCTTTTTTAAAATCTTTTGATATGTTTCCATTATCTATTAGCAATTATTTGAGTCTCCACCGTGATTAGGAGATCATGACTTCAAAATTAAAATATGGACTCTTTGCAATACATGGGTAAGGTTGTGTAGATCAACCTCTCTCTAGATTGTATTGGTTAGAAGCCTAATGCATCGGGTACATTTTTTTTCAATAAAGATGTTAAATTTCTTATATTTGTTGGTTATACTAGCCTATTTCTCTCTTGATATAAGCTGAAAGTATTGTGAGGAAATTCATTTACCAGTTCATTGGCATTTATATGAGGTAATGAAAAGCCTTCTCTCAACCCTAGATGAAGATATAGAATAACTTAGTGGTATATTATTGAGGAATAAATGCGTAGTGAAGATTCTTATGGTGTTTTCTTGTTTTGAAAGAAAGTCTTAAAAGCTTCAACCAATATGGGATTGTTATTGATTTTTATGGTGGGGGTATCTGAGTGTTAGGAGTGAAAGAGATTACCAATAATGGGTTCAATTACCTTCATAGATGACAGAATTTCTCCTCTTCTTTCTTCTAGTTTTCCTCTTCTGACTATCTTCTTTTTGATATTTCCTTTGCCTGGATTTAAATCCACTACCTCTTTCTGATATATCCTCAAAAAATAATCATGATCAGGCATGAATGTCGAGGCTACATAAGTTGAAAACTTCCTAAATTAAATGTGGAATCATCCGAACTCCGGTTTTAGCAAACTTATAGTCGAACTGAACATCTCAGAAAGATGAACCCAACGACACCAAAATCAATCAAATTCAAGCCCAAATGAGCTCAAATCTAGGGTCCAAAGCATATTTGGAGGGTTCAAAGCATAATTTGGAATACCAAATGAATTCCAAACATGACATGCTTATAGTCAAATTGAGCGGCTCGATGAGACGAATCCAACGAGCCTAAGATCACCGAATTCATTAAGACATTCAAATTATCAATAAACAATCAACGATCGAAGGGATCAATATTGGTCGTCCATTCAAGCTACTCCCATCTTAACCTTGATCATTTCCCTATTTACTAGCCATGCCATTTACAAAAAATTATAAATAGACCTCTCATTCTTCGTTGAAAGGGGAGAAGACTAAAGGAGGAAGCAGAAGAGGACGAACGATGGAAGTAGGGAGGAAAAGGAGGAAGAGAAAGAAGAGAAGAGAGGAAGGGAAATTTGAGATCTCTCTTCCATTAAACTTCTCCTCGGCCACCTGGCCACCGACTATCGTCGGACATACGCTCGACCACCGATTATTACAGGATTTTTGCCTGGCCACCAACTGATGCTGAATTTATGCCCGGTCAATGACTGCCACCCGACTTTTGGCAGACTTCAACCCGGTCACCAACTGCCGTCGGAATTATGCCCAGCCGGACATACGCTCGACCACCGATTATTACAGGATTTACGCCCAAGCACCGACTGTCTCTGAACTTTCGTCGAACTTACTCCCATCCACCAATTAGTGTTGGACTTTCGCTCGGCTATCGACTGTCGTTGGTCCTTCTGATCACTATTGCCCGACTACAGTCTTTCTGACCATTGTCGCCCATTGACTATCGTCGTGCCGACCTATGTCGCCCATCGACTATCGTCGTGCCGACCTATGTCGCCAGACTACGGTCCTTTTGATTTTTCTTGCCAAACAATGATCTTTCTGACCTCCGTCGCACGTCGACTACAGTCCTTCCAATCACTGTCACCCGAATATGGTCTTTCCAACATCTGTTACCCGCCGACTATAGTACTGCCAACCAAACAAACAAGTAAATACTGATTCTTCCAATTCCACCATGTAATCAACTCTATAAGATGTATATTTGTTATATCAAACTAAGGCCTTCTTCCCAAGGAATAGCTTCATTTGTAATTGACCGCAAACACTAGTAAATTCATTCAAACTGGGCTAGGCCTATAGTTTTTCCCTCTTTTCAGGAGTTTCCACGTAAAAACTCTGGTGTCTCTTATGAACGCTACACACACTCTTTTATCTGATTGTGTTAGATCTTCGTACAAAACTAAAACGTTAAACTTTATATTTCTATATTGCTGCAAATATTCCAGGACGCAACACTTTCTATGCAAAATGCTATCCATGAATAACTTCTAATCTCTTTTTCACATGGAGATGTTACTGCCAAAAAGCTGATATTCTGTGGTCACATTAATAATTTTCATAAATTATGTATCTAATTGAATATGTGACATCACTATGTTACTCACAATATGCTTTTTTTACTGTCTTGTGATAAGGTTTAAAAAAAGGTGGAAGGATTTCATCATCTGTTGCCGTTGATAATCACTTACTGTGAGCTTTTGCAGTTGTTCGATGAGGCATGGAAGGACCTGCCAAAGGATCGCCATCATAAAGTGTCAACAGAGTTCCTGCGTATTGCACTTGATAAAATGGCTGCATCTTCAGATTTACCTCCTTTTGGTGCTGTTTCTCAGGTTATTCTTCTCCTCATTTCATCTTCACCTCCTAGTTATTTAATTTTCAAATCATGTTAGATGAAGCCGTTACTCTCCATTACTATGTGCTTGTCTTTTTATATGTGATTGTGATCACTCCTCCTAAGCTTTCTTGAACTTGAGAACAAGAATCACCTTGGTAAGCATGTCAACATAGTGGGATAAAGACTCGTCATCATCGTCGTCGTCATCGATATATTTGATAATAATCGAACATCTAAAGCATGCCCCATGATATCACAGGTGGATGATGTTGTGAATGAGGCATCAAAGATGGTAAATGCCGATGAAGGGAAGCTTGTGAATGAAGAAGAGTTCCAGCAGTTGATGAAAGAGATTCTTGGATGCATTATGCTGCAACTAGAAGGTAACCCCATTTTTGTTTCTTCCAACTCTGTCGTTCATGAGACTCTTAATTCCCCATCAACGCTTCTCCCACCATCCATGGCAATACCTCAAGTTGGGTGATTCAAATCATTTACAAGTAAATAAATAATCCAAAAGTGTATGCAACCAATGGCAATGCAAAATGTATGGATGGCAATAAGACTTTCCTTTCCTCGGGCAATAATATGTATAATTGCTATTTGCATACTGAATTTATGAGATAAATAACTTGGAAAAAAATGCTACCACATGCTTAGAAGTCTTTTATGAATGCTAAAAGACCTAAAAAAATTCTCAATTAATTAGGAGCTAGTTGTATTTAATACTTCTATATTTTTATCTTTATCAAAATAATTCCTCTAAAATATGAGACTTGAGTTGATTTCGCCTTTTTGTATTGAAGAGATATTCTTTTCTACTTAATTGAAGATATGCAGGGCCAAACTCTTATATGTAATGAAAATATCATCATAGCTCAGATCTGAAAAAGGAGAGGACTGAGTATAAATTAGAGAAGAAAGGCCACACGATATCTAAACGCACCCGATCTTGCAGGTCTTGTAACCCTCGCTATCAGCTCAAGGAGAAATCATTTTTTGCGGCATCCGGATGGTAAGAATCGTTTGGATTGTGAGTATGCACACCGTGTATGTATAATGTGTTCACTGACTTGACGTATATTGTGTACAAAATATGCATACTCACATATCTGGATAGTCCAAATGCCGCACAGATTAATTTCTCCATCTTCTCAAGCCACCCCTACCTATACCGCAAGCACTAGCTTTGCTTAGAAAAATTGAAATAAAAATTGTGTCAAGATGTCCTCTAAGAGAATTTAAATTTTATTAAATTTGTTTTAAAATTAATATATTATAAATTCGTGACATTAATTTAAAAAAAAAAAACACTTAAATGACTTAAATTGTAAGGATCATATGGGAGATGGAAATAAAGGGAAGGAAAAATTGTCTAAGTAGAAGCTCTTTGATGATTTTTTTTATTAGAATTTTAATTAAAAATTATTATTATTATTTTTTAAAATAAAATTTTAGTAAAATTTTTTAATTTTATATTAAAATTATATTTTAAGAAGCAATAAAAATCAGTCCAACAAGGGATTTAAACTTACTCAAAATTCAAGGTAAGTTTCAAATGAGCTTCACGTTAGAGCAAAATTACAGACCTGTTTTGAGCTTTAAACCAAAATATACTTCCCACAATACAAGAACAAAAGGTCTATTTAGAACATCTATAATTTTTTTTAATAAAATTGATTATAAAATAATTGTGAGAAAAAAAAAAACTTAACAAATTTAATTATAAAAAAACATCTTTTAACCACAACAATTTTTATGAAACAATGAAAAAAATAATTAAAAAATTGTCGCTGACTGAAAAATATAATAATAAAAATGTTGCTCCGAACAAATCCAAAGAGTGCTTTAAAAAACCTAAGTGCTATTCGATAGTGATAAATTAATTTAATCCTTAATCATGCCCTTTCATAAAGCAACTTATGATGCTACGCCATTTATTACTCTACTAAAAAATTATCAAAATAGAACCCACATTTCACCAACTTTTTTAGAACAAGCTAAGCCCATGCTTAAGTTCATATCAAATTGCACATATGATCAATAACTACTAACCACATGAAACTATTGATGAGAATTCCAATGCCAAAATCAATTGGTAAAATTCTTTTGAATGTTGTTAAAAGAACAATAGGCATTACGTATCATCTTTCAATGAAATTATTATGTGCGGTCACCGAATACCGTTCAGAGGCATATCAGGATGCACCACATCACCATTTGCTATGTATCGGCGCTATGTAACAGGGTGACGTGAAGCATCGTAATTCGCCTCTGAACCGTCCGGTGATCGCACATAATAATTTCTCCATCTTTGAAGATAAATCCCAACAAGCCAAAAAAAACTATATCAGCCATTAAATCCTATGATGCTACATTTCCTCTTCCTTTCATCATAAAGGAACGTAATTCCTACAAATTTAGTACTACAAATCTCAGCTTGTCATACACATTGCATCTCCCATAAGTGGAGCAAACTGCTGCTGATCTAAACAAACCTTCAATGAAACCATAATTGAGCATTCAAACTACTGATAAATGAAATAAAGAGATTTGTCACTGATGGAATAATTTACAATCAAACCTTTCTGTTATCAGCAAGAAACCTTTGTTTTGTTGCCCAATTTATTAAGGACGAAATCTTCGTCATCATCTTCTGAATCAATAACTTTCTTCTTAGTTGTTTTCACCGATGCTTTGGAGGTTACTTTAACTTTCTTCTTAACCAAGACTGTAGAAGATTTCTTCACAGGGGTAGTAACCTTTGCAGGGGAACTAAATTTCTGATTGTGATTCTTTTTTAGCTTCTTTGCGTATACCTTCTGAGCCTCCTCTAGAGAAAGCAATCCCCGTTCCATCAACCTAAGTTGATAGAGAATGAAAACATTAAGAAAAAGGTCATAGATCAAGAAGCCCAAACTGGAATTCATTGTGTATGCTTGTTGAATGAGCTAATGGCTGCTTTGATTAGTGCACAAGAATGCAGATTATATGCGGATGATAACTGTCAGGCTACTGGCCTTCAAAAATAGACTTAGATAAAGTATTCAATAAAGCAGAAGACGGGGGGAAAGTTTTAACGTCTTCTAGATTTATATAACACATGCATAGATAAGCTAAAGCCGCTTTATTTCATTTAGAGGAACACCAAGTGGTGTGCAAAATACAATTCCAAGTATTGTTCCACTGAAAAGACTGATGTGTTATTTTGTCCAAAGTGCACCAAGTGAGGTGGATCTCTGCCGTACAACACCTTGATAGGGGTCATCTAGGACATTGAGTGATATGAAGTATTGTACTAGTACTCTGCCCAAGGCAGCCACTTAGCCCACTATCGAGGTATCTTTGAAAGAAAGTATCACAGGTATGTTTCCAAGCTCCTATTGACCACATCCGTCTGCCTTGGTCTGAAGGTGATAAGCGGTGCTCCTCGTTAGTATAGTCCCCTGCAGCCTGAACAACTCCCTCCAAAAGTGACTGAGGAACACATTGTCTCAATTGGATATTATCAATCATGGTATCTCGAGTAATCTAACCACCTCTCTAATGAAAGTTGATGCCATTGTTATTGTCGTGTAAAGATGTCGGGGAGGAATGAAATAAGCATATTTGTTTAATCTGTCTACCACCACTAGAATAACTATAAACCCCTTTGATAGGGGTAGCCCGTATATGAAACCCTTAGAGACCTCTTCCAACAATCTGCTTGGGAGTGCTAAAGGTTGTAGTACCCCCCGGTTCCATAGCCATATACTTAATGATCTGGAAAACCTCGCATTTGGCCACCATCTCCTCTACATCTTTGTGCATTCTCTTCCAAAATAGTTCAATAGCGAATCTTCGGTATGTCTTCTGTACACACGACTGACCCCCAATAGCGTTCCCGCGGAACTCCTGTAGCAAATGCGGAATATGAATTGGTAGTACAAACCTCCCTTTGTATGACAGTCTCTCCCCATCTGCTGAATAGCCCGGATGGCTATTCTCATTCTTTAGCAAATCCTTTCTATTCTTCCTTAGCTCCTTGTCCTCGCACTTTCTTCCTTAATAACCCACAATCCAACATCAGCAGTATCGAAATGGCCATCTCTTGGAGATACCCCACGCATCTGGACAAGGAATTTGTTGTCAAGTGTTTTACCCACACCTGTATTGGATTTCAAAATCATATCCCAATAACTTGGACAGCCATCTCTGATGCTCCTCGATCACCATCCTCTGCTCGAGTAAGTACTTCAAGCTCCTCTGGTCAGTCCTGACAATGAAATGTCATCCCAGCAAGTATGGTTGTCACTTCTGAATAGCTAATACAATGGCCATTAGCTCTTTCTCATAGACTAACTTTAGCCTGACTCTAGTAGTCAGCACTTGGCTGAAGTAGTCTATGAGTCTGTGATTTTACATGAGCACTGCCCCCAACCCATATCCTGAGGCATCTGCCTCTACCACGAACATCTGGCTAAAATCAGGTAGTGTCAACTACCAAAATCGAAATTGTGGTCATGGAGGCCTTCAGTCTCTCAAAGACCTGAGTAGCTTCCTCTCCCCACAAGAAGTCTTTTTTCAGCCGCTCTATCAAAGGCCAAGCAATGTTGCTACATCCTCTCACGAACCTCCTGTAGTACCATATCAATCCTAGAAAACCCCTTAACTCCCTTAGTTTCCTAGGTAAAGGCCACTTAAGCATTGCATCAATCTTGGCCTTATCAGCGACAACCCCTTCATGTGATATCATGTGCCCCAAATACTCTACACTCGCATGTGCAAAGCATCACTTCTTTAGATTGGCCCTCATCTGAAGCTCCTGTAACACCTCCAAGATCGCCCTAAGATGCTACAAATGCTGCTCATTGGATTTGATATACACCAAGGATGTCTTCAAAGAAAATCAGAACAAACTTCTTAAGATAAGGTCTAAACACCTTATTCATGAGGGACTGGAAGGTAACAAGGGTGTTGGTGAGACCAAACAACATCAACAAGAACTCATAGTATCCCATATGTGTCCTGAAAGCTGTCTTCGGGACAACTTCCTCTGTCATCCGAATCTGATGGTATCCAGACTTCAGGTCCATCTTCCTGAATACTAATGCTCCACAAAGGTCATGTAACAGCTCATCTATCAATGGGATAGAAAACTTGTGTGAAACCCCTTAAGTATAAAATGATAAACTCTTAAACATTGAGGCGCCTTTTGGTGTAATGGTTAAAATTTCTGCAAGAAACTCCGCAGTTAAGCGTGCTCATCCCGGAGCAATTCTGAAATTGGTGACCTACCAACAGGACCAAACCGTGAGGCTTTAGGCCAAAGCGGATAATATCTTGATAGTTAAGAGTTTGGGTTATTACAACTTGTTTGAGACAGTTTCCTTATTCAGGGCCCGGTAGTTCACACAAAATATAAACTGTAATCCTTCTTTTTAACTAGTAGAACTAGGCTAAAAAAGGGTTCACACTCCACCTGATGATCCCTGCCTCCAATATCTCCTGGATCAACTTTTCAATTTTATCCTTATGGACCTTGGGGTATCAATAAGGTCTGACACTGATCGGTGATACACCTCCCTCAGTGTGATGGTATGCTTTTGTCCCCTCTATGGTGGCAATCCTTGAGGTGACTCAAAAATCTCACAAAATTGTTGTATCAATGATTGTACTGAAAGAGGGATGTCCCTTCATCCCCTTTGATCCCTCAAAGCTATGCAATTCCACCAAAAATCCTCCTCCCTCCTCCTGTATGCCTCTTACCATAGTTTTTAAAGACACCATGGCTTTGTAAAGGCTTGCATCTCCCCTAATTGCCATCCTCCTCCCTTTCACCATAACTCCATCGTCAGCATCCCCCAATTCACCTTAGTGTCCCCCCAAGATCTACAGCCATCTCATCCCCTGGATAACATTAGTGTTCCCTAACTCTAATGGGAGAAACTCCTCCCTCACCTGGATTCCCTATATGGTTAAGACCACTCCCCTACACACCCCTCTACCTGTCTCCATCTTCCCTGCTCCCATCATCACCCCATAATTTCTTGTGTCCACTAGTTTAAGCCTTAATAGGTTTACAACCTAATTGGAGATGAAATTGTGTGTAGCCCCATTGTCTATCAGCACAACTACCTCATTGTCTGTTATTTCTTCTCTCACCTCCATATCGTGGTTCAAAGTGAAGTTCACTAACGAGTTCAAGGAGACCTCAGTCATATCTAAATGTAGCTTTTCTTCCTCCGCTAATGCCTCACTCCAACCTCCCTCCTCAGCTTCCTCATTATCACAGACAGTGAGGACCTGAAGAGTTCGGTCTTTACACCTATGCCCCAGCATATACTTGTCATCCATGATCAAGTGTAACACATAAAATGGTTTGAGAGTGATAATCTATTTTTTTCAAGAGTGATACTCCATTTTTCTTTTCCTTGTTGCCTTATTGCAATATTGTTGGCTTACTGTGTGATTATTTCAATTAGACTTGTTATAGTTATGATTTTTTTGCATAAAATTTTAAATTTTTATGTGATTTTGGTGATTCTTAATTTGCTTTTCATTATTTATAATATAAGGCTAATCTTTTTACCTGAATTAAACTTCTACACTTTTCATTTTTCATCGAAACTAGAAAATAATTATATTAAGATTACTAGTTCATTTTAATAAAATTTAATTTTTGTTGCATAGTTGATCACATCTAAATATGCATCAAATGCTAAGTGTTAAATATCCTAGACTCTAGAGCACATTACATCATTTTGTAACCTCAAAATTCTTTTTTAGTCAAAGTATGAAAGGATTAACCAAAAGGATTCACAAGACTGACCACAAATAGGTGGGTAAGACTAATAATGATGATGAGCGAGAGTAACAATCAATTAAATTCGAGTCAATGCCCTGATTGGTCATGCCAATTGCCAACCATCAATTCATAAACCTATTGAATATGAAACCATTTCCCAGCCATCAAATAAATGGGTTTCTGAGAGGAAACACTTGATGAAAGGAAAACAGCGAAACTTCTTCACAAAATCCACACAAAAATCCCAAAAAACAGTAGATAATTTGTATTATTTGATGAAAGGAAAACAGAAACTCGCAAGATACAATTGATCCTCAATTCAAGAGGAGGATTGATCTCTCCCAAATCTCTAGATGCCGCTAGAGCCCACAAAAAACCTAAATCTAAGAGACCTCAAATTTCAGCCAAATTCAAGATGATCAAACCCTAGGAAAACCAACTATTTAATGCATACAAATCAAAAGGAAATCCCTAAATAGTCCCTACATTCAAATTTCCCTCTCAAAACCCTCAAAAAAGCTTCCTAAAATGTTCTTCTTGAGCGATTGGGCCGCCCGATCTCCGCAAGAGGCGGAGATCCCGCGGTTTTGTGAACATGTTGGTCCCGTGCGGACCGGCTGGACCGGTCTAACATATTCTCACTAAAAAGGCATTGCAACCACTTCATAAAGCATGTTTTAGTCCAAAAAGGGGAAAACTGTGAAAATTCTTATAAAATGCAATTTGAAGTACATAAAGAAACAATTATATATACATTACAGTGTCTTTTGTATCAACTAGATTGTGCAAGCTAACATTTAGCTATAAAAAGTTAAATACCATAACAAGTAGAACTAGTTCCATTCACATTGATGAAGCTTCTTTGTATATTACTAATATTTTAGTGTATCAAAAGAATAGAAATAGTTCATAGTTTATTGAAAGTCAGAAGACCTAAAATAACAACAAATTATATCCTTTTTTAACAAAAGATTTTATTAATTTTAATAATTGTAATATGAAATAACTCTCATAAGACATGCTTAAATAAAACATTACGAGGTACCCACTTGTGTTATGTTTGTTCTAAATCTCAAAACTTGTTACATTCTACTTTATGCGTCAAAGCCCACCAATTAAAGAGCAAATCTAGGCTTGCGTCTCTTGAATATTGAAGTGATTATTATGTGATGCATGGCATGATCTACCACATCCTATAGAAGCATCTAGCATGGACAACTTTGTCATCACTTTCATTTTGCATGAAGTACACGCATAACTTAAACTAATTGATTAGTCCATATTTTTTCGCCAAGATTCTCATGTTTTACTGGCCCCACTTATCTTTACTCGCACATTCAACTAGCTAAATGCCATGATAATTCATGCTCATAAAGAATCAATTGGCACCCCTGTAAATTCAGCATTCACTATTTGGGTATTGAATCGAGCTAATCTAATCATAAATATAGGCATAAACATCTTCACGCATACAAGTTTTTTAGATGAATATCTAGTGTCACAATTAGAAATTCCTTGGAAATTTTGAAGATCTGATGCCTAAGAATGTGAGCTACGAACATAACTATTTCTTTTTGAAAGATTAATTCTATTAGAAAACTAGGTTCATCAATCGCCTTTCCTACTATGAATTTGATATCCAAATTAAAACTCACTGAATACAGAACATGACTTCATTGTACTTGGAGAAATAAATAGAATGAGCACATCATAGTACATAAAAAGATAAAGAAAAAAATCGGTTAGCTTCAAGACAATGATGAAACTAATCAGCATCTTACCAAATCATATCACTAGGTTTTGAAGTTCCAAAACCTATAGGCTTTACTCATAACTTAACAAAACTATTGTCAGATACTCTCACCGGGCACTACACATGCTCAAATCCATAGAGATCAAAAGTTTAGGTGATCAACTTAATAATGGCCTAAGATTCATGTATTATATCACCTTGATGAAATGAAGCACAAAAATTTAATTATTTGTAAAGTTTGTCAAGTCATGTGGACACTTGAAAGCGTTATGTTAAGTAAATAATATGGCATATCTCATTCATTTTCCATAAAATTACATACACTTACAGTTACCTTGTGCAGAGAATGAAATTGACGTTGAATACAAATTAAACACTCCTAATGTCACTTGCATTTAATTACAAGCAAAATCAACATTATATAAGTTATCAATTTCCTTCTATACCACTTCCTCTTAATAGCATTATTACAGATATGTTTCTATAATTTTGATAGAAATATGATCATATTTGAAAATAACATCCCCAGACAAGTCAAGTCTCATATTTTCTAAGACTAGTTGCCTCCCCATGTCCGGGAACCATAGTGTTGGCACTAGTGCTTCGCAGCTCAATGGATGACTAGAAAAATGTATTCCCTATTTACCGGGGACTACACATGTTGAGAACTTTATGTTATATAGTCTTAAACCAATATTATGGGGACTTTGTAAACACCAATTGCTCTTAATGAAAACAATATATTATGATGTACATATTAAAATTATAAATATGAACTAACCATATTGAAGCCATTTCGCTTGTAGGCACTTTTTCATAGAGGGTTTCATAGAAAATCCTCAGTGGGTCTCTCTGTAGTTCCACATTAATAAGGGAAAGCCGTCATTATCCCAAATAAGCACTAAAGCAATCAATGAAAATTGAGGAGGAAGTCTTCCTTACAATCTCTGGTGGGTCATGCTTCTGACCTGGAAGTTCAAACACTTTCTTTTCTTTCTTATCATTCTTAACCTTTTCTTGAGAAGCCTCAACCTTCTTCACTTTCACCTGGGTCCTCTTTTCTTCGTTCCTTTTCCTCTTTTTACTCTTCTGAAATACAAAAGATTAAGAAACAAAAATAAGAAAAATAGAGGATCTCACAGCCCAAAATGCAGAAATGGAGTAGGACTAAAAACCCCGCATTAAAAGAAACACCTTCTTGTATTCTTCTTCGTCTTCAAAATCCAGATGAACTTCCTTTTTCACACTTTTCTTTAAAACTTCTTTTGTCTGCATTTCTATAATCAGTCAGCATAATGGAGAAAGTAACAAGAAAAAAGTTGGTCCTGGGCGCAAAGAAGAAGTATGCACCTTCAGAGGTTTCTCCTCCTCATCATCTTCGGGCTCATACTTCTCAACCTTGGGAGAATGGGATGGCCTTTTCTTCAGACCGTCCATTTTCTGCATTTCAATGATAAATCAGCTCAATCAAGTATTAAGCAATAACGGGTCTATGATCAATCCATCGCCAAAAATAGAAGAATGTACCTTCAGAGGCTTCTCGTCTTCATCATCCACGGGCTCCTCTTTCTTCACCCTGGGAGGATTGGAGGGTTTTTTCTTCTTCGCCTTGGAAAAAGCAAGCGGAACGTCATCGTCGTCTAACCCGTCCTTGGATGTTGGTTCCTTCTTTTTCAAGGATTTGCGATTGAGAGCAGAAATGGGGCCGTCAAGGTCGTCCTCTTCTTCCTTCACGGCTTGCTTTGCTTCTTCCGTCATTTTTCAAGAGGAAAAACTTGAGCGAGGGTTTAGGTTTTACAGCCAAAAAAGAAAGGGCAGTAGAGAAGCGAATAAAAAAGACTGGAAGGGAAGCCAGCCGGAAGGTTGGATTATATAGGTTTAGGGCGTAGTAGAATTTGGGCTTAGCTCTAAAGAAAATATTTTAAATATTTGAAAAAAAAAATTAATGGTAAAATACTAAAATTAGAATTAATTTAATTATTTTAATATACGAAGATCCATCATTTAAACGGATAAAAGAGATGGTGTAATATTCATAAGAGACATCAAGATTTTCAGATGAAAAACCTTTCATCTGAAAATGGGAAAAACCACGGGATTTGACCCAATTTGAATGAATCAATTATTATTTGCGGTTGATTACAAATGAGGTATTTCCTTAGGGGAAGGCATTGGCTTGATGCAATAAATATACATCATATAAAATTCATCACATGATGAGACTTGAAAAAATCACTATTGACGTGTTCGTTTTGCTTCTTTTAAGTTCTTCCCTTGGATGGGGAGTTTGGACTTTCTTATATAGATGAGGAAGGGAGGCAGGAGGGCTTATAGATTTACTTAAGAAAAAAAAAATATAAAAATAGAAAGTCGCTCATTATCTAATTTTAAAAAGGAATTTACATATCTACCACATTATTCTTATCTATTTGCATCTCTATTATTAAATTTCTATTTTTTTTGTCTCAATTGTAGAAATGTACAAACCGAGAAGATAAAACTAAAGAACAATATTATTGATTTCTTAATAATTTACACACAGGTTATACATCTATATATATAACAAGGTATGAGAAGAGGTACACGTGTAATAATCTAATTGGATCAAATGGCTAACAGAAGTAATATAAGTATCTGCTCTTAACATCCCCCCTCAAACTGGGTGTAGGATGAGATAGTCAGTTTGCTGCGAATAGTCTTGAACCGAGGTGTAGAGAGCGGTTTGATTAGAATGTCTGCAATTTGATCAACTGTACTACATCAATGACATCAAAATATATAAATTAAAATTACATTCTACTTTTAAAAAGTTAATATTAGTGATAAATTTTATGTTTTTTAAAAGATTTAAGTATTATATAAATGTATAATAATAATCTCAAGTAAATTAATTAATTTTACTATTATGATATTATTTATCTAAGAATATTCAGACGTTTTTTCTTTCAATTTATTTCAACAACTTAGTTTATTTTAAGTTTATAAGATGCAAATCATATGAGAAATTCCGCATTGACACGCCCCCAAACATTGCCTTTATCGAATTTTGAGGCATATCTTAGTTAAAAACTTTCAAAATTAAATTTGGGACCATATAAACTTTAATTTTAACAAATTTAATATCTCAAACAGTCGAACCTAACGACATTGAAATCGGTCTAATCTCAGCCTGAATGGGTCTAAATCAAGGGACTAAATCCTATTTGAAAGGTTCAAAGCATTGATTAGATAATCAAATGATCTCTAAATATAGCATGCTTATCGAGCGACTCAACGAGACGAATCCAACAAGCCCAAAGTCACTTAATTCTGACATCATTAAGGCAAATAAATGATTGAAAAATGCTCTATGATTGTGGGAATTAGTACGAGTCGTCCGATGAATCACTCAAAAAGTGCCTTGAATCCCCTTCATATTTATAGGATGTGCCGCTCACAAAAATATATAGATAGACCCCACACTCTGTACATGAGGGAGACCTTTGGCTAGAGATTAAATAGAGCTCTCAGGCTTTAAGGATCTAGAGCTTCAGCCAAATATTTTTTTGGTAGAAATTATTCTGTGCAGAAGCTGGACGTAGCTCTATGTCCGGAGGTAAATCAGGTGCAGCCACGTCAGCGGTACAGAGCAATACCGAGCGGCAATACGCATCAAAGGTGTGACATGACTCATTCTAATTGATCTCTAGAGGACGTTTGGCCTCTGTACAAAATAATTAATCCTTTTTTTAGGGTTTCAAAGTTCAATTTTTTTTTTTTTTTATAGAAAGGACGAAGGCCAACACTAAAAAACAATTTGAGGGCTTCTACATAGAGAAAAGTAGACATGAAAGAAGAAATTTATTTTAAAATAAAAAATTTTCATAATAATTTGGCTCCATTTGCCATAATTTTTTACTATTTTTGAAAATAAATTTTTACAATAAAAATTTTTAGCTCAAAAAAATTTTACACAAAAAAATTACTTAAAAAAATTAGTAAAAAATTATTACAAATAAAACCTTAATATGATCTTTATAAATTTAGATCAATGATATACTTTGATAGAGTTTTATTATACACTCATATTTATCCGAATTAAATTAATATAAATAATTGTAAATTAGACTTAACAATTCATTAATAATTGTAAATCAGTTTGAACAGCTTTTGACTAAAAATTCCACAATTTTTAGAATAATTAGTCATAACTCTTATATTAAGGAAGATAGCACATTATGATCAATAAAAAAAGAGCTAACAAATTAAATATACTTTGAAAGTATAGCTCTGAAAAACAACATTTAACACTTTAGGGATACAAAAATAATAAATAATCAAATTGATTCGGAGATTCTCCTTCACAAATATTCTTCTCACTCCCTATTTTCTATCTCTTTTCTCAATTTCTTCCTGTAGATATAGGGACTCACAAAATCTATTTGAAATATTTTAGAGTTGATTGGATTAGTAAAGCCCAATGATGGTTTGGAATTATTTTATGTTTATATTTCAATATGAAATGATGATATATTATTGGTTTTTAAAAATAAGTTTTTTTATTAAAGATTATACATGTCAATTCATGTAACGATAAGGAGGGCAGCAACTGACGAAAGTGAATAGTGGTGGCTATGACGACGATGGTGGACAACAATGGAGAGGTGGAATTGGAGGAAGTAAGGTCGTAGGGTGGCAACAGTGGCCAGTGATAATGATAGGGATAATGAGAGCGACGACCTTGATCAACTAAGCCTCAACTATCCTCATTGGTTTTTCGGTGATTGTGCCACAAAGCCGAAGATTAGGAGATACATCACTATAGAGATGATGCAATATGCACTTTTTCACATACTTGTAATGTCAACATATTAATGGTAGCATGTGTGCATGCTCTAACAAAATAAGTCATTTCAACTTCGTTTTAGAAAGCAATAATAAAGCCGTCCCAAAGGAAGCCTAAATCTTTTCAGATATGGATGACCTTCATTTTGTCTAGATCTAATGCAATAACCAATTATCATTTTCTTATTACATTTATCTTGCTCAAAATTATGGAGCATGCCTCAAATTACATAACAATAGATAAAAATTCAATATGATCATATCAATAGAATCCATAGTTAGTAGATCTACAACATACTACAAATTAGCTTGTTTAATATCGAGATAACATAACTTTTATAATTTTTGATCAAATTAAAATATTAGAGGTAGGATAACAATAGCCTATCTGAAGAGGAACAATTTTCTTAACTAATTCGGCCGATGAAATCGGCTTGAAGACCCCAAGCCTAGCATTCTCTTGTCTTCTTCCGCCACCAATCAACTAGATGAAAGAAATAAAATGATTTTGACTTTTAATAAGTTTGATAATGGATTTATATATTTTTCAAAATTTTGACCTAGCGTTGCAACGCCAGCTTTCCCAACAGTGCAACACTCTCAAATAGAGATCTCAACACTACAACACCAGCTTCCTAACACCCATCTAACATAGAGGGTAGCGCCGTAAATCTCAACTTAACAAATTTTTATTCCAAATTCAAGCCACAAATCGCTTCTCCGGCCCAAATAAACATAAACCTGATTTTAAATATTTTTCAAAATATATATCAAATAATTCACAAATCTTACTTGTCCAATTCAGGTCATCAGATGATCTAATCACACACAACTCTCCTTGGCCTATTGGTTGAGAGCTAAGGCTTCCAACTAAGAGGTCTAAGGTTCGAGTCTATGTGTATGCGTTGTGTGTGTGAGTTTGCCTTAAATGGCCTAAATGTCCCAAAAAAGATGATCTAATCACTATAGAAGCAGTTGTTACATTGCTATGTTCTTAGGAATCGTGCAATTGCTTTAAAAAGAGACAATCATTTTGAAACTTCAAAAATTCTATCTTTTATAATTAAATTTGTCAACATAAATACATGATAATTTTAGGTAGGTTGCCTTAGACCATCTCCAACGGAAAATCGCATTTTTCACTCCAAAATGCTGTGAAACTTAAAAATGCCACGATTCATCTCCAATGGAACTCAATTTTGAGAAGGTAACGATCTTTTTTTTTTTCTTTCGCGCGCTTCTTGTCAAGTTCGGTAGACCGAGAACGATGATGAACAGTTCATCATCAATATTGGCGTCCTACTGTAGTACTGTTCACCCACATGAAAATAGCGGAAGTTTCACCGTTCGGCTGGAGCTCAGAGGCAACGGCATTCAAGCATTTGGAGTTCCGTTAGAGATGCCCTTACCTGCACGAAAGTGTCATATGTCCCATACCTAAAGTTTAATCCTCCTCATCGTGACTAAGGCTTCATTTGAAACAGCTTTTTATATAAAATTTTTAAATAAAAAATTTTTGAATTAAAAATTTTTATAATAGAATGCTGCTTTAAGAAGCAATAAGAAAGTCATCCCAAACGAAACCCAAGTCACATAACTTGTCTTGACAAATGATCAATATAGACCAAAAATTGAAGGATTGCTTGCAAAATTTTATGAAGATAATTTATTTTACATTTGCATGGCCTTCAAAACTTTTTATAAAGGAAATCCACTTTAAAATACAAATTCTTAAAGTTACGCCACATATATGATAATTTGTAAAGCTAATCTATGAATACAATCTCTAATCACCCATAAGCATAGTACACAATGTTCAAATAGAAAAATAAAATTGTTGAAAATCTCGATAATGATCATTTTGACAAAAAAATTTCAAAGAAGACCATTTTTCAAAAATGCCATTAAATCCTCGTGCTCAATTTTGATTCATATCCAATAAAACATATAAAAATATATTAAAAATT